AGAGATGCAATCGACCTCAGAAATCGAGAAAAAGAAATAAATATCATCAAAAGTATACAAAGTTTGCCTGTATTACTTCTGAGATTGCTCCAATTAGTATTTGGTAGTGTATCAGCCGTTAAATTATTGCTTCTGAACACTCGCGTGACTCGCGTGACTCGCGTGACTCGCGTGTCAAAATGGCGGACACTAAGTTGAATTACGTGACTGCGAGTTTTCAAAATTCCCACCTCTTAAACAGTTTTAATTTGTCTTTTTTCCAAATAAATAGGAACCTGTGGGATTACTTTCGTTGATGGCGGTTGGAACCAGGTAAGGGCTAAGATGTTTTCGGGCGAAAACCATGATAGAAGAAGCAGCTTCGCAGAGACAAAACTTGATTTAATCTGCCTAGCACATCTCTCTTTTTTTGGCAGCCATTCCAAGTGGGAAAACAATGAAAAACGTCTCAAATATTCATAGCGATAACTGCATTTTGATTTGCCTTGTGTTTAGTGGTGGGAGTTTGCTCAAGAAAGCAACCGACGAATTTGGCGCCTAAATTAACTGTTTTTGGCTGTTGAGAGTATCATATTACGCTGCCACAATACAGTACGAGAGAGATGATAGTGATACACATTTCTGCCAAGTATGAGAAAAATCCCTCGCAAAATAGCTAAGTTATTCTCAATTTTGTGAAAATATGGGTTAAAGACAGGGTGACCCAGGCCTTAATTAACCTGAGTTGTTGCATCACTCACGACCAAGACTTAAAAATCAAGAAATAAAAACATTATATGAACGCTATTATGTAGTACTCGAGGAAAGTTGAGCTTTGTCGTCGTAAGGGACCATTTTGTGGTTGTGTCAAAATAATATTTACCTAATCCCCCCATAAGGATCTGTAGTATTCTAATGAGCCCCCTCATTGGCAATCAATATTCTATATTCCGCTCTTTAAACACTATTAGAGACGATCCCCACTCCGCTCTCTCTTTAAACCACGTGATTTCCCCCTTAGAAAAATTTGCTCCGTCTTCTCCTAGCATTAAATGTTGACTACGCTATAAAACAATTGAAAATACAGTCACATCAAGAGTTTAGGTGAAAACTCTTTTGGGGATTTTAAAATATTTCAAATTTATAAATCCTTCCCATTTAAAGCTTATCCTTATATAACTTTTCTGTTAGTACAGGGATGTCCAAAAATCATCCATAGTTTAATGATCGAATGCTAGCATCAAGACAAAATCAAACGGCCCAGTTTTTCTAACATTGTCAATCGCCCGGATGAACTTGTTATAACAGAATGTGTCTTTTCGTCAAGGAAGGTAGCCAAGGATCATTGATAAAGATCACTTTCTATCATTTGATTTTCTTTTTGTCTTTTTTTTATGTCATCTATGAATCTACAAGTGTAAATTTTCACTTCTCCTTGATTTCGTACTTTTCTACAACTCTCCATCAACCTTCTTAACAAAAAAAAAATAAAGGCTTCGAAGTTCTTCCAAATTGTTCTCTCTTGATTTGCGTTAAGCGGATTACAGAGCACTTGAATATTTCGTAGTGGAATAACCTTGGCTATTGCTCGATTCCAGATCCCTTCCCTATAGTTTTGGAGTATTTACCATAGGGTGATTTGTTGGGATACCTGCTAAAGAGCAGAGGGATCGAGGACATTTATAATACAGGAGAAAAGAGGCCAAGCTCAGCACTTACAGATAAGGACCTCTTTTCCTTTGCATGGATGATTGCTGATGGTATAGAGTATTTGGTATCAATGAAGATGAACTTGATGCTATTCGAAGCTAAATAGGACAAATCACAATAAAATCCTTTCACAGCTGGTATATGCTAGAAGAATTTGGCAAATAATAACATATGAGCGAAGCACACTCTACGATCTGCAACGATGCAAAATAGCAGGCAAATAGACACGCTTTATGTTACAATAGCTGTTAGATGCATCACGTGCTGTAATACTCTAGAATATTGTAGGAGTACAATAAATCCATAGTGTACTTATAAAAACAAGTCCATGCTGATTATTGACGACAGGTATTGGAGTGTAGTTAATACGAATATTCCAGGTGTACGCGAGGTATTCCTCCCAATCAACATTCATGCAACTTAAACTGAAGACATCACTCATGCTCGTCTAACAAAGACCTGGGCTGCGTCTGTTGGTGAAAGAAATCACTTACCGATTACTCAGTTGTAACGATAATTAACGCGGCCACAAAGTATAGATCATTTAAATAAACAGACTACTCTTTTTCCTCGAATGCAATGTCCCTAGACAAAACTCAGGATCTTCGGTAACAGCATAATTAACCGCCGCCTGGTAAGCTCAGTTGGTAGAGCGCCAGTCTGTTGTGCGGGAGGTCGAGGGTTCGGGCCCCAGACCGGACCAACACTCAGGGTCTTAAAATAACTGAGGAGAATGTGCTGCCTTTGTAATTGTACCAGCAAATGGTTAGACATTCAAGTCTTCTCGGATAAGGACTATAAACCGTAGGCCCCGTCTCCTGCATCTTCAGTGTTACATGGTCAGCAGGGGACGTTAAAGAACCCACACACTTGTCGAAAAGAGTAGGGGGCGTAGTTCCCGGTGTGGTGGTCTATCTGTTGTTTCATTGTACATTTCATGCATGGGCTGGGTGGGTGAGTGAGATCAAATATGGACTGATAGCGGCAGCCAGAGGCGCCTTTACAAGCTGACGTTCGATCTCACTCAATTAAAATTGTAAACCGCCTTGAGACAGTATGTGATATGTGCGGTATATAAATACACATTCATTCATTCATTCAAAAGCATTGAACAAAATGATTTATTTCCACGTATTTGACTTCTCGAATTTACAGCACTAAGCTTCTTCACACCTCTCTCTTTTTTTTTTGACGAAACTATCGCTCTTGTATACATAAAGTCCAAGGATCTAAAAACTTCTCTAAAGATCTAAATTAAGTAGATTAACACAGTTTCTAAATCTGAGTAATTACATAAGAAATAGAACGTTCCAGAATGTTCTTATACAAGAAGGTCACGGATGGATGACCTCGGGTTCTAAACTGTTCTATAGAATGTTCTAGGACTTAACTTAGACAATTTTTCGTAACACGTGTTAATACTCTGAGTCCCCAGAAACCCATTGTTGTATTATTAATCAAAACTTCAAAGCTTCGTAGTCGTCTGATTTTGTGAACCACTCCTATGATTACGGGCCGAATTGTACTCCATTCGGTCTTATTACCATTATATATTGTTTCATTTTGATATCGCTTTGTATTTTTATTTATTTTTGCATTGCCCAATTTCATGGCTCGTCTTCCTATAGTCCACCAAAGGTAAAGCAATTGCATTTAAATGGAATAAATATTTCTCACTTTATTTTCGGCTATTGATGCCGAAAAGTGAGCAAGATTAGTGTTGAATTTCTTCCATTTGCCATTAACTTCATTCCTAAACTAAATCTGTGATGTTATAGGAAATGTTTGCCTTCTTTCATATTCCTACGACTTTTCAGTTAAGCCTGAATTCAAGAGAAATTCTTGCTGAAAAAGTGGTCTAAAAAGTCCGTTAAGAAGAGAGTAAATTATCCCTTTCATTCTTTCCCTGTTCTATCTCAAACTAGTATTACAAATAATATCAATGCCAGGAATAAATAAAATAACTTATTAAACGTCAGTTATTTTTATTTCAGGTATTCTATTATCAAGGAATATTGAGAAGAAGAGCCCTCAAAGAGGCCGGCATTAATTCGAACGGTTTGTTCCGCGATCAAATGGCTTCTGGATTATCGTAAGGTTTGTTTGAAAGTATTTCCCCAATGTTTATGTTTTTTCCTGTAATTAGATCGGAACTTAAATTTTACTCTTTTCTGGTAATGGCGTTCTTTGACTTGAAAACTAGAGGTTTATATCGAGTTTGCGCACTCATGGGACATTCTGGAGAGAGAAGGGGTTGGGAGGGAGAGTAGAATATCTCAGACATTTCATGCATTGTCGGTATATTTCTGATACTGTGTTTTACTGTGCTCTAAGAAGGAAGGAAAAGGTACCAAACCAAACGTATTCCTTGTTTCATCTTTATCCAATCTCTTATCCAGACCTAGATTTTTTTTTAAATCTACGACGACAAGAACTATATTAACTTTGATAGGATGACGGAAAAGGAATGATCAAGAACATAACTCATTAAAGAATTAACCTCCTTGATATGCAAGTAGAAGTAAAATGCATGGTTGCATTCTCGTCTTAAACGAAGTGTGTGAAGCTAAAAAAAGGTCTTAGTCGTATTTAAGAAAGTCTTGTCATACATTTGAGAAAGCACTGATGTAGGGCTCTGGAGGCCCTCTTAAATATTAGAGTTGTATAACTTCGCAAGCAGGTCAACCTGAAAAAAAAGGTAGCTATACCGGCTTTTCATCCTTTCCAAACATCTCGGCCGAAAAAAACTCACACATATACCCAAGTTAGGACTAAAAGTTGGTCATTAACTTCAAATATTTCAAGTTTCTTTACGCACCCAGCTCAGTACAGCATACCTAGTTCAGTGCACCAGCAGTTAATGTTCGGATATATTTTTGGACATAAAGCATATTTCTTGTGACCGATTTTGTCTCCAGCTCCAAATCTTACACTTCCATCCACAAGGACACAGCGGTCAAAGTTAAGGCTTGTGCAAGGAGATTAAATTTGTCCAACCGCCACACAAAATAGGAAAACACTCAGTAAAAAAACAACAACTGCTGTCACGCAAAATTTACGAAAAAAAATGAAACTTTCTTATGTAAAAGAGAGGAAGAGGAAACATGAGGCAAACTGATAAGTTTATTTAACTATATATTTTTTTTGATTCTCCAAAATGATTTTGAGCTTTAGGTAAATGTCACACGCTTTTTGACACCGTTAGAAACTTGGTTATGTGACTACTAAAATCTTCAGCAGGGCACGTCCGCCTCCTTGTCATTTCAATATTTGCACATGCGCATTCGTTAGACCACAGTGTTACTTGCTCAGCACATTTAGTTTCAGCACTGAGGCAGTAAGCTGAAATTTGTTTGCCGGCCCCGATGTGTGGAATCTTTTAAGGAATAAGGATCACTGGATCTACTTGTAACTGTGAGTACCATAGTTGTATTATCAGTTACTTAGTAATGGATTTGTAACGGTTACATTATTTCGTATGAACGAGAGTTAGGTTGCTAATTTTCCATACGATTTCCTTTTCCCGTTTAAGTCGCAGTCGAGGAGAAAGTTTTCTGCATTCTTTATGAAAACTAAGTACTCTTAAACTCAGAAAACTTACGTAAAATTGAGCTAATCAGTGAACGAAAGAAAAGAATTACGATGTAGTTTCCTACAGAACGGGAATGAATACTCAAAGGCCAAAGCTAAATATACATGTAAACGTGATCGCGTGTTTATGGAATACAAGAGTGACAGGGATGGACACAATGTTTAGCGGTAGATGCCACCCGGTTTTCAAAATAGCAAATTCATAAATGACACCTGCACGGTCGTCGCAAATTTGAAAACTACTAAAGAATTCCATAACCTTTTCTTGGTTCAAGTATACGCTTCTGTGACTGCAAAACTATTTCTGTAATAAACTCGCCATCAGCATATTTAACACTCCAGGGATCTGTCAGGGCGACAGTCAAAGATGATTGATTAATGGAAATGAATTAAAAAAAAAAAAAGGACGCGGTTTATAAATGCAAGGGCAACGTAAGACCATTGAGGATTGTTACTGGCAAGTCTATGTTTCATTGCCATCATCGCAATCACGTTTCGGCTAAAAAATTCAGTCAGACCGCCTTGAAAAAAAATTTTGTTATGAGCTAAGTTTCCTTACTTAGTTATGAGTTTTTAACAATCTATTTTACTGTGAAATTGTTTTCATCTTAGTCACAACTACGTCTGGTGTAAGACTTTCAGATTGTAAGTTCATTCATCCCTTACCTTCCTAAATAGAAATACAATTGATCAATATAAACTTCGATTTATCGTCCTGATTAGCAGAGTAAGTATTAATATAACGTTCCAAATCCATTCAAAATATCAACATATCATTTTTTAACTAGTAGGGAGCATAAGAACATTTTTGCTCTATCGCTCTAGTAAATGCGAATGGATCACTGGTTTCTTTCAATGTGTACTCTCCTACGGGTTTTTACCTTTTCATCTGCGGAAGTAGGTAAGAAATGTTTGCTTGTAACATTTTGTAATAAAGGTAGTATCAAATTACATAAATTATTAGAAAGTAGGCAAATAATTGTGTGCAATGAAATTCATCAATATTTAATGTTATTGAACAATTATTCACTAAAGGCTAAGTGAATATCGTTTAATTAATTAGCAACATTCAAAGAGCCTATGGCGAATAATTGTTCTAGTATAATTGCTTAGTAGGTTTCGAACCTACTGAATTCGTTTTTTTTGTTAAAACCATTCTGTGCATAAAGAAAGCCTTGCGAATATTTTGTTACAATTGTTTTGATTGCTCGTATCGAGAAAACCAGTCGACTTCCACATGACAACTCCATAGCGGATTAAACGTGAACCTCAAAAATTGAGGTTGTTAAGTATTCATATATTCAGGCTATTGTTCTTTCTCAATACTTATTCATTCCGATGAGTTTGCCGACATGCCGGCATGCTTCCGAAGATCGTGAAGAGCGCAACTTCTTTGATGTAGGTGAGATATTTTTCTTTTGTTAACAGATGAAATAAACTCTCCCGGGAATCTGCTTGCAATTGCGTTGTCCGATTTGCTGACAACTTTCGCTTTTGTCCATATTCCTAACTGATCGACAGCTTCGACAGAATCGCCAACACTAAACTCCATCGCGACAATAAACAACACGGTCAGATCACAACAAGTTCATTCGAACAAGACGAAGTTGTGAAAGAATGAACCGCCAGCGCGCGAAGACGAGCACTATTTATGACACGCAATATTTACATAATAAAGAAGTAGGTTAATTCAAGTGCACTCATTCGGATAAAAACAAAGCGATCGGCGCTCGAAATGATAAACTATTTTCGCTTTTGCTCTTCGCAGTGATTACAACAACTCGTCCAAGATCCATTTTTAAATCTTTTGCGACGCTCTTTAATCCTAGAAACATATTAAGGCTAAAAATACACCGTGAATAGAAACTAAATCTATTCAAATGATTGCAGTTTATCGATCTCGAGTTCATTCATCTCAAGACAATGTAAACAAAAGGATACAAGATCACAAGTCTGTTCGCGCAAGGTAGCTTAATTACACTATTGTCCAAGTCTTTTGAAGTACCTTCCGCAGTTCCTTTGGTCTTCTTCCAAAATATCTCACTTTTTTCGAAACGAATAAAACCGAAATCATTCGACACATTTTCGGCAGCCACCGAAAGCAATGCCCAAAGGAATAAACCGAGCCTTCGAGGTAAAAAATCCAGCGGTGTCACCCATTTCAGTAAGTCACAAATAATCCGGGCTGGAGTCGTAATGACAAGAATTTTTCTGGTTTTTCATGAAAATTTCCAAATCTCAATTTTGAAAAGTGTCACGCCAAACTTAATAGCATCTCAAGTGCTCTCTGGAATTGAAATTTTTTCCATCACGTTCATCTGTTCCCTAGTAACATTGACAAAACACTCGGCAGACATTTTGAAATTCAGCACCCTCACTAGATCCTCTTGCGGAAGGGTATAATGGAGAGACATGACACAATCCTTGACCAATTATAGCGTGAGAATCTTTATAATCACCTGAGCAATTACATTAACGCAAAATACTGCTTTTACATTACGTGAAAAATTGAAATTGAACGAAACGAAGAGTTTTGGTCACTTCATTTCTATTTGAAGTTTATAAACCTCAAGCAAGGGTTTTACAAATGTCACAAGTCCTGTATCTTTTTATCTAAACAATCAAGCTGTTTTTGCATGTGAATTCCATACGATTGCAGTGCATTTTTTGTACAATAAAGCGCTTTTTTGGAACCATTACTAAGCCCTTGACCTTTTTTCTCCAAAGTCATTTTAGAAAAACAGCCGACACAATCTGAAAACTCTCAGTGGCATCCTTCAAAGCCGCCAACAACAGAAAATGGACCTTCTGGGGTGAGATCCTAATATTCATATCACTAATTACTATTTTAAATACCACTGCAACATGAGCGTGGTCACTGAATATTTGAAAAAAATTTTTTTTCACTTCAAAATCTCCCTAGCACCCTTAGTTATTGACTAAAAGTCTAGTTCCTAAACATTTTAGTGGCCAAAGAAAATTTAAAGGTCAATTACGGTGGAAATCGAAGCGGTTTTGTAAACCTGGTACTGTATAAGTAAGAACACTCAGCTTTAGGAATTTATGAGAAAGCCTCTTACATTTAATCGTCATGTTCCCCTGCATGCATTCCGCTACAAATTCTTTAAAATTGATTTTGTTATCATTCCATGCAGATAGTAATCAATATGCAGTGCTACAATGGCAATTTTCTAGTTTACACTTCCTGTTTAGCAATATATGCTTACCCTACGCGCTTATGATACATGCACGTTTGCAATCGGAACTATTGTGCATGTAGCTCTGTTCAAAAGCAATGCTAACGATAATCGGAAGTATTCTAATTGGAGTTATAAATTGCGAAACTGAAGTCGCGTTAAATCGTTAAGCTCTGTGCAAATTATTTTGGTCAATGAACCATTCAGCCAAATTTTCGATGTGACCAATGCAAATAGCTTGGTCACATCGGAAAGGTATTTTGCAAGAGACAGAAACTTATAACCTGCTCCTTTAAAACTACTCAACAATCTGAACTGATTTCTCGTCATAGTGGAGGACAGACATACACTACTCGACCTGTGATGTTTCTCTGGATGCATTTCCACAACCAAACAACTGGCTCAGAAGTAATCCTATAGAGATCCAAGGTGGAGTGAAAGTAGTCCACATTACCATTAAGTTCAAAATAAAAAACTGTTCTTCTTATCCTGACAATGGAGGAAAATATTGCAAAGAGTATTTCGGCTTATATATGTTTCGTTCTTGGCAAAAATCTGAACCCAACCCTCTGACAAACAATGGCTCGTATGACAAAATTGCTAAAATTAGTGCACCAGCCCTTGGCACCAATATTACTCAAACATTTAGAGCAGTGGTTACAGGAAAGTACATCGTATTGGCATTTCACGACGAGGGCTCATGTAGTGACCTTTTCTCCGTTACCGTTAAATATTATGTTTGCCCAGAATTAATTTATGTTGGTGGCTTAGTCACTTTACCAAGAACAATGGCCCCAGCAAACGACTCAGAGCCAGTTGTAGGTGGTTGTGTCTCAAATGCCGTGTCAGAACAAAGTATTCTAAGTGCAAACTGCCAAAGCGACGGAGTATGGAACATCACCTCCCTTACAGGAAGATGTATATGCATGGAGGACAGGGAAAATTTAAGAGGAAAATGCAAAGGTAATTGACTTAAAGACCTATAACAACGCTCGTAAGAAAGCCACAACAATATAATGTCGAAAACGTTAATTAACTAGCACTTGAACTTAAACACATTTGGGCTCTTGGGAGATAAAATAATGCATTTTGAGAGAAAAAATACATTCGCGTATCGATGAAAAGCAAAAAAAAAACAGGATTTTATAAAAGAAAACTGATATCTTATCTTTTAACTTCCAGGAGAAAGTTGTCAAATGTATAACTAATCACGGCATAGCTTGAAACTTACTTCATCGGTAGAGGAAGAATACCGTGTGTAATTGAGTAGCAATTAGACCGTAAATTATCAGAGGGAAACACGCCTTACTTAATATTCTTTTTTCTAGATTGTCCAGTTGGAAAATATAACGATCAGACTGGCCTAAATTGTACAGGTAAGGAAACAAACGAAATCAATGCCCAGGACACATAAAATTCGACGTTGGTCCTTTTTTGTTCGTTCTTGCGTTGCACAAATTTGCAACTTGTGCGATGTCATAATTAGTTATAACATGTAGAAATGCATTGGGCTCAGGAAAGGCTGCCATTTGAAACAAATCTTCGGAATGTAATGGAGTGCTAAGAGAAAAAATGCAATTCAATCAACTCGGTTCCTCCCTCTGCGAACTAGTGGGGAAGTGATGAAATGGAACACACTCTTGAAGCTCACCATCGAACTTTAAGAGGAACGTTGTTAGCCTGCAACATTCATTTTAAAAAAAAGTTCATTAAAATTGATATCGTTTCTTAAAAAAGAGTGTATCTTTTACACGGTAATTTCTGTCTAAATTTAAAACGAGGAAATTTAATCGAAAATTCGTCAAGCTTTTATTATCTTCTTCGCCTTTCACACATGGAGAGGTTGTTTTTGTCAAACCGTTAATGTCAATATTTCAGATCTCTGGACGAGTGCGTGATACGGTTCCTGCATTTCAAATTTCATTCCTTTCAAATTTCGATGTTTTAAAAAATAACTTAAGAGAGGATGTCAGCATCCATCGAACAAATTTGAAATATTGTGGCAACTTGCCCAAAGTTCGTTTTCTCTCCTACTTTCATATTTTGTAGCCCAATATGTTCTAATAATTGTGGTGTAGTTTTTTTTGTGAAAATATATTTTAGTTTTCGAGAAATGACTTTTTTGGTTCGACCGCTCAAATATGCAAATTTCACCGTGAATATTACCCGAGTTGTGTGACCTCATGTGACGAATGTACGTGACCTACGGTATTTCTGTGAACATAATCCTTTGTTTTATCATCTAAACTTAATCCCCTGTCGTTATTGAAGCTGGCAAAGAAATATTTATTTATTGGTGAATATTTTTGTCCGACATACTTTTCCTATGTCGAAAAGTAGCATCAAAACAAAGACAATTTAACAGTGACCGATATGACAGAATCTACTGAGCTTCAAGCTTTTAAAAGACCAAAGGATGGTTATTAAGTTACTCTAAAAATTTCCTTGTGTATTTGTGTTGTTCTATCTTGAGACGAACTCAAAGTCCGGCAAAATTTACTTGACAGCGACTATGAAATATACATGGTGCGTCTACTTGTCGCCACCGTTAATTGGCATAAATCACTAAAATTTGTAAAAAAGTCTAACATAACTCTCTTACCTTGTTTATTTATGATTTTATTAGCCGTTTCGATTATTATGTTACGCCTGGGTATTACTCTTTGACAGGAGCCCAGGTTTTGCGTTGTGTTTTCCCCTCCCTCATTTATATCATAAGCTAGTCACGCAATAATTGATACCGACACCAGTAGATATTTACCATGTATAAAGATTTTTGTTTACGTTGAATTTAAAATTTAAAATCTGTGCTTTCTTCACTTATCGTTGTTTCAGTGGCAGGGAAGCAGTTAAAAGCGGGTTGTTGCCTCAACGCTACTGAAATTTTTAGTATTCAGACAGGCGAGCAAAGCGTGATGCCCTGGGAATAAAAACTTTTAGGGGCCTTTTACATGATATTCGAACGAGTTTTGTACAAGAACGAGTCCATACCGGTTGCCACATAATAACCAGCGTAAAATTTATTCGAAACGAGTCATTTCTGAGTGAGTTTATTGGGGCTCTCATTAAAGAACGAAACACTCCTTCTGGACGACCTTTTCTACCTGGACAATGTAAACGCGGCACGGCTGTCATATTTGTATGAATCCACTGTAGGAGCGAGGGAAGCATTGAAAAAGACAGAAAAGGACAAAAACACTTGTTTTTACAGGCTAATTGTTGCCACTCCCACACGGATAAGATTTAAGTACCTTTTAAAATTTTATAGCGATCGTTTTCGAAATTCCGGGCGCGCACCCCCGCCCTCTTATGTAAAGGGGTCCCCCGGGGGTGCTGATACGTGCAGCACACTTGACATTTAGCAAGGACAAATTCTGATGTGATTTTTGGCGAAGAGAAACAAGTTTTGCCAGCGTCTAGTTGCTCGTGCGGAAGGGCCCTTTACCACCGTGTGCATAACTACGCGTCCCCTCAGACGGCGGAAAGCCAACAAAGTGTTCAGACATTTGTTCAGAAAACTCTGCCTTTGTCTGAATTTTTGGTAGCCTATAGATCAATTCCCAATCGAAACTTAAGTCTGACGTCACGCGTAATTCATAATTACCAAAGCCAGATTGTACGAATTTTCCAGACATCTTGAGTAATATCTGTGATACAAGCTTGCCAATTCCCCTATCAGCTTTTGGAATCGACTTAACCCTATCTTTACCATGGCCGAACATTTCTTTTAGCACCCTACATCTGCTACAGAACACCGAGATTTGGTCTGTGAGTGGGGCAATTAGAAAAATTATAGATATATTTTAGCGAAAGCAGATATGGACCCCCCCTTCGCAGATTTGGACCCTCCACAAAACTTTTTTTTTAAGCATCGTTTGTATCATATTTGGTAACTAACTCTATTTGCAAGCTTTTTGTCGATGTTCTTTTCAATTACAACACAACATTCCTCAATAAAGGTGAAGAAAAACAGCCATTTCGTTCCAATCCTGCCGCATTTATTATAGCGGGTCGTACATTATACGCAAGAATTAGATGCGAACAAACTACTGCATTCAAACGATTGAAATTATAGCAATAAGTCTGCTTCTTCTGATGCGAATCAACATTGATACGAAATGTCATAACAATAGTGGTGACTATTGCGTCCAGTCACAAAAATAACTCGGTCTGATTTTCTAATTAAATAACATTAACAGTTTCTGAACAAGAACGAAGTAACAACTCCTACTACAAGTCGTTCGTAAAACCTATGATAAGAAAAAATGTTTCTATTCTGAACTATTGGAACTCTCGGCTTATTTTCAGATGCAAATCAACAGTAAGACTATTTCATCGAACTCAACCTTATTTTCTAATTTTAACGATTATTAACTTATTGAGGGATCTGAAATAACAAACTCGCACTGTACCATGTCGTCTCAACACTTTGGCATTGAACAAAAACAAAATAAATTAGTGTCATAAGTTTTTCTCTTACTGAATCTAGCGGTGTTCGACTATCGCGGAAAAAGTTCAACAACGACCTTTCTCCGAACATTGAACTAAATGCTTGCACATTTTCCCTTGGTCAAAAGAAACATCCGACGGGTTATTTCTAGCTGCCAGTTCGTATGCATCGGCAATACGCATATTTTGAATTAAAAACATACTTAAGTACGCACTGAAACGAAAAGTATTATCTATTTGTACGAGAACGTTAAGGATAATGTTTTCACTCAGTTCTGTTGGGGGGTCCAAATCTGCGGAGGGGGGTCCATATCCGCTAACAGATTTGGACCGGGGGGTCCATATCCGCTAGCGGATTTGGACCGGGGGTCAAAATCCGCTAGGACACCGACACGCGAAAAAACAAGATCAACTTCATGTTCTGGATCTGAAAACTTGCAACTCCGCAAGTGTCTTGAAATGTCTTTTTAACAATCACGCAAGGGAACGACTTGGTCTTCTCGATAACTAAACCCACAAGTTCCACCAGCAAACGATTTAACTAAACAGCAAATCTCCAGTTTAGCATGTAAGACGAGACGCTTATAAAACAGATCAGTTAGCTAAATCAGTATGTAGCTTGTCAATCAAATTGACTATTGTAACCATACTTTGACTTCAGCCGGCAAAGGAGTCATTGATGGATCTGGACATTTTAGTTTTCTGAATGCAGTAATTCCTGAAAGGTCTTTCTAGATGTTATGTAAAGAGGAAAAAAACCCATCTCTTGGTATTTCGGAGGTTGATTCATCTTTGAATTTCTTTGTCACGCTTGTCACGTAACTGATAAAATATGATAGAGAAGATATATAAACTGGAACTCAAATCTGGCTAGAATGTAGTAGGGCATAATTAACGTGATCATCGAAACAGCTAATAAAATCATAAATAAACAAGGTAAGAGTGTTATGTTAGATTTTTTTGCAAATTGTAGTGATTTATGCCAGTTAACGGTGGCGACAAGTAGACGCACCATGTATATTTCATAGTCGCTATAAGGTAAATTTTGCCGGACTTCGAGTTCGTCTCAACATAGAACAACACAATTACACAAGGAAACTTTAAGTAACTTTTTAACCATTTATAACCATTCTTTTGTCTTATAAAAGCTTGAAGCTCAGTAGATTTTGTCATATCGGTCATTGTTAAAACTGTCTTTGTTTTGATGCTACTTTTCGACATAGGAAAAGTATGTCGGACAAAAATATTCACCAAAAATAAATACTTCTTTGCCAGCCTCAATAACGACAGGGGATCAAGTTTAGATGATAAAACAAAGGATTACGTTCACAGAAATACCGTAAGTCTGGTACATCGTCACATGAGGTCACACAACTTGGGTAATATTCACGGTGAAAATTTGCATATTTGAGCGGTCGAACCAAAAAAGTCATTTCACGAAAACTAAAATATATTTTCACAAAAAAACTACACCACAATTATTAAAACATATTGGGCTACAAAATATGAAAGTAGGAGTGAAAACAAATTTGGGTGACTTGCCGCTGTTTGTTTGATGCATGCTGACATTAGCTCTTAATACAGTAAATGGTTTGAACCTGGGGGTAACATGTCGTCACGGCTTACAACTCACTACGGACAACAGTTTACAAGAAACTGACACATACCGACAGATTACTGGACGAGTCTTCCTACAATTCGATACTACACAAAGCCACTGCCATCAGGACTCTTACCCGACGAGCGCAACTAGTATGCAATACGACAGACAGTTTATCCGACGAGAACAAGTACCTTGACCGTGTTTTTTCAAAGAACAACTACAACGAAGACTTCATCCAACGTAACACTCACCGACCTACTACTACTACCGAAGCTAACGACAACACAACTCCTACGACCATAGCAACCATACCATACATAAAGGGCATATCTGAGAATATCTCGTGCATCCCACAAACATTCAATATCTGCGTCTCTCAAAAACCTATTACCACACTACATCAGTTACTGACTAACGTCAAAGACAAAGACGAACCGAGGAACAGACAGGGAGCAGTATATGAGATCAATTGCTCCGACTGCCACGCCTCCTACATCGGTGAGACTGGCAGAAACCACACAACTAGACTGACTGAACACAAACGAGCAACGAAGAAAGGCAATGTCAACAATCACATTGCTGACATCACCGACTTACGAACCACACTATTGACTGGGACTCTGCGCAATGCCTAACCTACAGCACCAACTACTTTCAACGACTGACCCTGGAAAGCTGGTTTACTAACCTGGAACAGACTCCCCTCAACAGGTATCAACCACTACCGGCACCATACAAACGACTCCTTCACGACATTAATATTTCAAACGAACCGAACAGAACGACCTAACTTCATTACCGGATTGAAAACGACTAATCACGACTGACCTACTCCACTTGAGTCTTACAGCCGATAACATCACGGCAAAACTGACCAATCAGTTTATACTAACCGGACTAAGTACATTCGACTGACAACAACCTCTCACTTGACTCTGATGATGACTTCCTCTCAGGTTGTCGAAACGTAAGTCACCATTACCGACAACAGTCCTTCTCAGGACTACACTCACCCGGACGATCAAACTACACTATTACAAAAAATAACTTGTTAGGACGAAGTAAAAACAAAAAACACAGGTCATTTGCCACAAAAAAAGGTCTCTCAGTCAAGTCATGTTTTCATCTCTCTGTTTCAATAGTTATACCATCCTCCCCGAGGGACGTCAAGGTTTCCTTTGTAAACCAAAGTGTAGTTGAGATAACATGGCAGCCTCCAGTGGTACATGGTGATCAGACTCACGTGTCTTATGAAGTCGACTGTCGTATCCAGAAAATATGCAGCATTGACGACTGTTTATATGAAGATTGTGGCAATGACATCAAACACATTCCAAATACCAAGGACCTGGAAATAAACCATCTGACTGTGGCAGGTCTCTCTCCTTTGACGAATTACACTTTCAAAATCTTCGCCAAAAACAGAGTAAGCCAGGTGGCCAAACGAAAACACAGAGTTGAATGGAATTTTGCAAAACTGACCATAAGGACTAAAGGATCAGGCAAGTCGTGGGACATTTTCAGCTAACGAAGCTAGATTCGCTATAAAACTCTTCTTTTACTTGTCGAGTGTTTCATCCGCGCTTCTATGTGAAACAAGGGAAAGGTATATGGTCTTCAAAAATCCGACGCTTAAAGAGAGTGATCATAAGCGGCTATTTCCAAATGTATTACTCGCAAGGGCTGTCTATCGTAAAACTCAGGTCTCCAAACTAACACAGCCTCTATGTTCAGTAACTGAAATGAAATTTAATAGCGCGATTTACTTATAATAAAATACGTCTCCCTAAGGAAAAAATACCACCAAAAAAAAAGTGTAATAATTAGATGAGTGGGTTAACTCGGTGACCATGAGGTGGAGTGCCACTGAACATAACACTTTTAAGCAATGCTCACCACAATTTTTTTTGCATCTCTTGTGCAGAAGCTGCCACACCAACTCAAATCCCGGGAACTGAAGGTAACTAAGGGAATTTCAGTTAAGGAAATAGTCAAAGCACTTTAAAGTAGAGACATTTAGCGAAACTATAATCTGCAGGGTTAGGAGTAACTGCTACAGTAATATTTCGCCAGATTATCTTACCCAAGGAGAATTAAGGTATACGTGTATAGTATTAAAAAATGCGGAGCTTGATGATTACCAAGATTAGCGAGCATTTCCTATTTCATTATCCAGCTACACTAAGTAACGTACAAATATCATGTGAAACGACCTCAAACATCACGCGATATTTGGACAATTGGCTATTTTGTACTACAAAAAAAAACCTGTTCAACCGGTCGACTACGTTTCTCTATCTGCTTTGCCTCTCCTACCTTATAATACACTAGGAAAAACTGTTCTAGGGTGAAATTTTACCATATAATAATGGAACAAGAAAAGAAACCTGAATGACTTTTTATGTTTTTTAAACTTTATTAAATTCCACACATAGAAACTTTTTCTTCCTTTCTCACAAACTGTTTCTTCCTGAGAAATGTTTAAATGTGTAACTGTTTTTCTTTAAAAACACACACCAAAGCTAGTAGACTTTGGCCATTGCAGCCAACCTCTATGATCACTGCTCGTGATTGATAAAAGATAAAATTGCGTAATCTCAACAGATCCAGCCTCTCCTACTTCAAACTCAGGAAATGCAGCTATAAAAGGGGTTTTAAATATAAATCGCCAGGGGTCTTTATAAGCTGGAAATAACATAATGTGGAGGACTTTTGAAGCGGCCAACAAGTCTGAACTCACTGATTAATTGTTGAGCCGAAGTAATATACACTTTCTAGTGAACGTTCTGCATTTCATTCGTACATGTACAATCACCCGAGTGTCAAATTGCTCATGAGACCATAAGAAATAGTTAATGCTGTTTCCGATTTTAAACACCTGCAAAGCTATTGATCTTTTGCTGTGATAAATTCAGAAGACCCTAATCCTACAAGACATCAGAAGACTGTCTACGCATTGGTTGGATTGGTTGTTTTGTTAGTACTCTGCATTTTGGTTTTTGTGTGTTGCAAATTGTGGAAAAGGTTAGTTTAAAAGTAGACATCGAAAACGGAAGAATATAGCTATTGAGCGCTTGAAAACGTTCCATGATTACTATATCTGAACACAAACGAAAACAACTTGAACGTTTCCAAGACGTTAACAGAACGCAAGGAAGCCATACAATCCCAAAAGCAGACACAGTCTGGAAAAACTGAAGACAATTCGAACAAATTAAACGCATTTCAACTTGGTTTTGAGTCGAGTTGTTTAGTCCCCCTTTTTCCATTTTTATCTCGAGTTGTTATCAGGGTTATGTTATCAAATAAATTCAAAAAACAAACCTTGTTCCAATTTTCTCTTGGTTGAATACCTTTGAACCAGTTTGAATATTCTTTTTTCTATATCTTACGTCCATTATCATGATAAATGGATTTGAACGATTTAAATGAATACCTTTGAACCATTTTGAATATTCGATTTCTATATCTTACGTCCATTATCATGAAAAATGGATTAGAACCGCTAGAAGTATACTAGTAAGGATACGATAAAATTTAAAGCAGTTCACCGATTTTGATAATGTGCGTAGATTTTAAATTGTGCAGGACTGGTGAGTTCCAGTCAAAAATACTTGTCAATTTTACGTCTTGTTTCTCTACCTCACCGGGCTGAACTACTCTGTCGTCTACACACTACTACATACTTCATCATAAGGAATGGATGGTGGCCCAGAAGATATGGAAATAGGGCAACAGAGGGGTTTGACAGTAAGTCTCAATCTTATCATTCCTACCATTTATTGTTATGACTCACTCAGTGGCTTTTCTGTATTAACTAATAAAACCAGAAACCAAACAACTAACAAGACAAGAGCAAGTACACTCGTCAAGCATAGAAAAAAACAGCAAGACCTAGAGACAAAACATGTGCCGGAAAACGTTTCTGTTAGATCTTTCGATGAATTTTCCGTATGCTTAAACAATTTTTCTTCAAGAAGATCACCAAGTGTCTGCAAGAAACGAAATTCCAAATCAGCTAAAGCGAGAGTTTGTGGATAGTTGCTTTACTCCTTTTGGGATCTTCCACAACACCAGCAGAGTTCATATCTAAAATGTACGAGGCTTTAATGTACTCTAAAAGCAATCATAAAATTTACTCATTCGTACTATTGCTCAAATTTTCCTTAGATTTTGGGATGGAAACAATTCGCGAACTTGACCGTGAAAAAATGAAAACTATTAAAGAACTTGGGAGTGGCAACTTTGGTCAAGTTTGCAAGGCATTTTACGAACCCAGACAAGCTGAGGTTGCAGTGAAATCACTAAAAGGTACTTTTACTCTCTTTCTTTATGACATGGAAAAAGGTTTTCGATGATATTCAACGACTAAAATAATCAACAGTTCACCTAATTCCTGTCCAGGGACCCCTTTCTCGAATTTCCCGATAACTTAACAGGCCCGTAAAGCTGTTCCATTTTCATTTTAGATGCGGGTTTCAAAGTTTTGAGAATTACATAACTAAAGTTTCAGCTAAGGAAATAAAACGGACTGGTTAGGATGCCAGAACCTGCTCCTCTATTATTTAAAATTATGGCTTCGGGCCCATTATGTTACAGTGGAAATCAAGAAACGGGCCTCAGGGCTGTGAGAGATATGAAAATCACGTAATTTAATTTGGATGATAAAATCTGTTCTAGATGATGCCACGCCGAAGGACGTGCAAGATTTTCACTCCGAGTTGAACATCATGAAATCATTTCAGCCTCATGCTCATGTGGTAAAACTATACGGCTACTGTGTTGAAAATGGTAAATCTTAATTATGAACTAATTTTTCCAACTGATTAAGTAATAATCTGATTTATCGATTGATGGATTGATTGACAGAACAAAAACAATCTTCCTTAAGTTATCTTTTATCCGATTTCAGTTCCCCACCTAATAGTTTTAGAGTATTTGCCATATGGTGATTTGTTGGGGTACCTGCGTAAGAGCAGGGGTATTGAAGACATTCAGCACGCAGGAGAAAAAGTACCAATCTCGGAACTTAGTGAAAAAGATTTGTTATCCTTTGCGTGGATGATCGCTGATGGGATGAATTATCTGTCATCAATGAAGGTATATAGCTTAACGGTACAGCTTTTTCAAATCTAGATACCTAAATGCACCGAGAGATAAAAACAACTGTCTACAAACATTTTGCGCACAACATATTTAACAATCGTTCTCCTTTAGGCTCAGTGAATATTGTTGAATAATGCTCAAGACGAATGTTTCGGTATAATTGCTCAGGTGCTTTCCAATTCTGTTGTAAATTGTTTTCTCTTTTTTCGGTGAGACCAATCTGTTACAGTTGATTTGATTACTCTTACCGAGATAAGCAGCCAGTTTCCACTAGAATTGAACAGGGTCATTTCAGTCACCAAAAACTTCTTTTTTTAACTTGAAAAATCGTGGGCCAAACTCAGTAGTATCTTTTGTTTTCTTCAGAATTGTATTTTGTTCTATTGCGCTCATCACTCTTTTGTCACTTACATTGACAAAATGCGAAGCAGCCATTTTGAAATCCTAGAACCACCTCGCGCGGGGTGATTAGTGATTATATAGAGATATAACGCAATCCTCGACCAATCAGAGCGCATCTCTATAATCATTAGAGCAATTAAACTAATTACTCATAACACCTTTCGAAATGCCTACAGAAAAAAAAAACAAAAAAACAAAACAAAAACGAAAACAAAAAAAACAAAAAAAATGAAAACAAAACAAAAACGCAAAGGAAAGGAAAAAGCAGCCATTAGTTTTAAAAAAGTCTTGGAATAACACTGTTATGTTGCATTACAGATTGTGCATCGCGACTTAGCAGCTAGAAATGTGTTAGTGGGTGACAACAAAGTGTGCAAGATATCAGATTTTGGTTTAGCACGTCGTTTGGAGAAAGATATTTACACGAGAAAATGTGAGGTGAGCTCAGAATAAATTTTTTTTACCCATAACTGTTACAGCAGACTTTTATTTCCTAATTGGTTTATTTTCTCATTTGGACTAATATACTTTTAAAATCATTAAAAGTGATCATGTATTCAGTTCATTTTTTATACCATTTTATTCCACTACGTTTTTGTATCAATTCTGAAACTTCCAAACTTTTTAAGGCTCTTCTTCCAATTAAGTGGATGCCTCCAGAGTCACTTTTCAAGGGAATAAGTTCAACTATGAGTGATGTGTAAGTTTTTTTTATTTATCTACGTCCGGTTTGCGTTTGGCAGATAAACCTTTACGCGTTGGATTCCTAGCTGTTCCTTTACCTCGTAAAATCAGTTCCTTTGTCAACGCAATAATATGGCATCATTTGTCACCAAAGAGTGAGCTCTGTTGAAAACTTTGGCTTTATAATTGTCTCTCAATTGCACTAAAACACCTCCTTTTATGCACAGTGGTTTTGCTAAAAAAGAGACCACGATTACGATCAAGATCACGATTATTATTAAGATTACGTTTACAACATTCCTCTCTTCTGCAGATGGTCTTATGGCATTGTGATGTGGGAGGTGTTTACAATCGGTATGCAGATTATTATGGAGAGAGCACTCAGGCTATTGGACAATGCAAAACGCTCCTCTTATTAATTATGTTTCATATACTCTTTGCGAGAAATGATGTTGATAGTGGAAGTCTTCATGATCAAGTCTAAAAAGTAACTTCTTGGAATTTTTAGGAAGAGAACCCTGGTAGATACTGACTACTGCATTGAAATTATTATGATATAAGTGAAAAGTCTTTATTCTAACTAATTAATCTATACCTGGTTAGAAAAGATCGAGAGAGAAGTCCCTTTCTCACAAGCTGACTCATTTAGCGCTGCGTTTTGCTAGAAAAAATGAGACTGGCAATTAACAGGTACTGAATTTTTGTCAAGAAGTACGATTATGGTAGGCGGATAAAAAAAGGGGGAAACGAGAACATGGAGATCCAATACTTTTTCGACGTATTCCGTGGTAATTCCATTTCATTTCCCGCTGGATATATCGTATTTCCTGTACTACGAAAAACAGCCAAGGCTTTAAATGACGGGGAAATATAAGGATTCTAACCATCTTACATTTAAGAAACGATATATCAAATCACTGTCACCTGTTTTCTATCGTAAATCGTTCCAGGTGAATCACCATATCCAAGGATAGATTCTCAACAGGTAAAACAAAAGCTGCAAACTGGATACCGTATGCCCAAGCCTGAACATATCTCACAAGAACTGTAAGTAGATTCGTGAATCGTACCCTATCACCCTTTAAATACAATGCAGTCACATTTTGTGTGGCCATCCAGTTTAACATTAATTCAATAGGAAATCTGAGCTTAAAACATTGTCCAAAAAAATTCATGCGATTCAAATAGCATTCTTGAAAAATGTCTCTTAAAAACAAAGAAAATAAACTATTTCATTTCACCAATGTTCTCTTTAAAAATTACAGTAAAAGTCAATACACGAAAATTTAGTGCTGGTGATTTTATTTTAGGTATTCCATTATGACCGACTGTTGGAAAGATGATCCCCAAAAGAGGCCAACATTCCAGTGGCTTTGCTCTGCGATTAAAAGCCTTCAGAGTGATCACAAGGTTTGTTTGGAAGTATTTCTCGCCAAGTTTGTATTTTTTCTGTCATTATTGTTTCACAACTTTTGATCTTACTGATCTTTAGTTAGGACGTTTTTTGGCCAATAGACCGTCAATTTTTTTCTTCTAATAGAAGTTGTATAGAAAAAGGGGAAGGCAAGACTAGGCTGGACTCTTCACCCTCATAGCTAATTGTATTTAATACAATGTTTTCAATTGGACTATTCGAAGACGAGGAGGAGTACCAAAGTTTATGGCTAACCCTTGGGAAATATTTCTTGATTCACCACTGAAAACAATTAAATATGGTATTCTTTGGAACCTTTAATATTCATGTCCTTTAACTAATCTCTACTTCAGATCTATGTGAACTTGGAAGTTTACGACAGCACGAACTACGTTAGCTTTGATATGATGATGGACTACGAGTAATGGAAACTGTTCAATTTTTACGAAAAAAGCAGAATAGCGGTTCAGTCCAGCAAGACAAACTTCATTGAAGACTCAACCTCCCTACTTTGTTCGTATATCTCAAGTACTTTGAGTTACCGAAAGATACTGTATTCCAAGTAGTGTTTTGCTATAAGTAGATTATTAATTGCTTTTGGCCCAATGAAACATGTCTTAACTGGGTTTATTATTTTGATGCTTTGAAGTACAAAGTCAGACTTACGCTTTAAAAATGAAATTAGTAGACATACGTTGTTAAAGAAAATAGTGGGAAACGTGGGATATATGATAAAATTTGAAAGGTCGCTTGATTTATAGCTGGAAGATCAATATTGAGTGCAAGAACAAACAACGACAATTTCTCGAGCACAATAATACCTCAGGTATTTTCTTAAGAATGAAGCTTGCTATTTTACTATTTTGCTATTTTACTATATTTTACTCACGTGTTCGCAAATGTGAATGGAACTTCAGACATGTTTTACATTTGGCAACTAGTCTTGCTATGATGAATAAGTTGTTGAGTATTCTTTAACTCGATTCGAAATATTGTTATACTGAATTTGGTTTTAGGTTTAATTCATGATTGCAAATATCCATTATTTTGCTGGTCTGAATAGACATACTTTTCGCAGGAAACTAACCGAAAGCTTAGATTTCATTCGGCAGTCAGTTGCATCTATAGTTGCATTTATGCCGTCTAGTAGGTTTCTTGTAGTAGAATTAGTAGTCTTTATTTCTTCACAAGGTAAAACTTGCATATCTCATGTTACAAAGTAAAACGTTGAGATAAAGAAAGATAATAAGAAAAATTGTAAGATATGTAAAAATCTCTGCAGTTACGCTACCTTGTGTATAACTAAGACGATTTACGCAATAATCTTTAAAACGATCTGCATTAACTTTGGGGCAATGACATGATTTGTTGGTGTTGAATAACTCTCGCAGGCTCTGTATAGGCGTGAAACATTTTCCTCCCCATACAAAGTTCGCTCCCAAATTGGACATGACCGTGAAATGTTGGCAACCATTTTCGAAAATGTATACAGTTTGTCGCTCTTTTATGCTCAAATTGCGGTCAAAACCACTACATCCGTTCATGTTCTTTCCTCATGTAGTTAATTTGAAAATAGCTGCCATGGGGAAGTGCATTGCTGCGATGAAAATGTGCAATTAGACGCCCAAAGTGCAAACGGTAAAATGGGTTTCAGATAAAACAATAGTACTCATCTTTAATTCTTGATAAAGTTCGGATGTAACGCACGCTGTCCTTGGTTGAAAGAGCGTGCTCTATCAGAGTATAAAACACATAGCTGAGCTAAAGCTGTCACGCTATCGGCCAATTTGTACTATTTCCAACCCATTTCGAATGTAACTTTCCTTTATTCAATTATCAAGATGGTAAATTGACCATACAATACTCACTATTAGTGAATCTGCCTGTACTTAGGAAAACAGATTTAAAGCACGATTGAGTATATTTAAGAAATGCCCTTACTATAGTAACGCTACGTAACGCAATACATTACACACACCAGCACTTAAAATGCGAAAAACACGAGTACCACTGGGGATCGTTTGAGAGCGTTTAGTCAGAGCTGTTGAAAAAGGATCAAAGCGGCCCTCGAAATCATTGAAAATCTTAAAACTACGATGTACATCAAAAAACGAAAACCGGTCTCAAATTCTTACTTAAGATGAAGTGATTGCCATTGTCCTTGAGAACCAATGACTGACGCGACAAATACTTAGAAAGAATACAGATGTCAAATTTTATATAAGCGTTCAGTAAAATTGTCTCGGGGGAAGGGTTGTCTTGGGTACCCGAGACTAAGCCAATGGGGCCTAACTCTTATCCACAGGCGCACACACGTTCCCCTTGAGGAGATAACGTAGTACAAGATTTTATTAATAATTATGTTTAGGGAAGACTCCATATAGTCGCTTTGTTTGCCTTGTGTAGAAGAGAGACGAAAGCAGCAAGCAGCTGCGGAAAGCCTCAGTTTGTTTTCGCTTTCTGCCTACCTGTAATTAGTTTTGTCGAAACAGCCCAACGTGAGTGCGTTAAATTTTTTCTGCTAAAAAGACTCATAGATTGCTCATTCATCCTTACAATCGGGAAATTTTCCTTAGAAATTCCAATCAGTTCTCTTGATGAGTACCAAAATGTGGATGGTTTTAAACTTGACCGTCAAAAGTTAGCCTCAGTTCGAGTACTTGGAAGTGGCAACTTTGGCCAAGTTTGTAAGGCAATTTACGGACCTTTGAGAGCTGAAGTTGCTGTTAAATCATTAAAGAGTACGTCAATCACCATTTTCCACTGAGTGCAAAAAGTTTCAAATGTCTTTAATAGATCGGAATTCATCAAAGTTTCATTTTATCCAATCTTTCTTTCAATTACAGCTGTGTACGTATTCTTGTCCGAGTCCGTTAAAATATGGTGAAGGTTCTCGTTAGCTTTCTTCTGTAAACTTGATCATTTAGTTTGAATCTTAACGTTACGTTCTAGATAATGCCCTGCCAAAGGACGTGCAAGATTTTAAAACTGAGTTGGCCCTTATGAGCTCCTTGCAGCCTCATCCCCATGTGGTAAAACTCATTGGTTAAGTAATTTAACTAATCAATCTTTTTTTTTTAGTAACGAATTAAGTTAAGTAATTGTGAGTACAAGAAAACAAATTTATAAACGTAAGTACAATTAGTTTTTTTTGTGTATATGTATCAAGCAAATATCATGTAAGTAATGGAAATTCTCCCTTTGGTAGTGTAAACGTGAGTAACCATTTCCTTTCGTAAATAGTGTATCTTAAGTGGGTTTTTATTCGCAGTGTTTTTTGTAAATAGTATAATTTTTAACTGTTGTGTGGAGAATAAAGTTCATTAATAAAAATTTAGAAAAAAAATTTTAAAAAATCATTGGTTGCTGTATTGAAAAAGGTACATCTTGATGATTAACTGTCTTAACTGATGCACTTGATTGATTAACTGACTGATAAAGAATAACCTTAGGCTTTTATTTGATTCCAGATTCCTCCCTAATAGTTTTGGAGTATTTAGCGTATGGTAATTTTTTGGGATACCTGCGTAAAAGCAGAGGAATTGAGGATATTTATAACACAGGAGAGAAGGGACCAATTTCATCACTCAGAGAGAAGGACATCTTGTCTCCTGCGTGGATTATCGCTGATGGCATGAATTATTTAGCATCAATGAAGGTAAACTTGATATTTTTCGAAATCAAACCAAACCTTTTTATTCCTAGAAACTCATATGTATTTCAAAAAAGTGGCAATAAAAAATACTGTGTGATCGCAACACATTTTGCATTTATCATCGTGCTAAAAAGCACGATGCAAAACAATCAACCTTGAAAAAAAATAGCCATGTTACTTTTTAACGGGGTCTCCGTGTGAAAGAAGTAAGGGAAGTTTAAAGAGTACGTAGCCAAACTGGGAAAACTTTGATCGCACAATTTACATTTCCTTTTAATACCAACTTAGCGCGGACCATGATAAATGGGGACTAAAACATGGTTGTAAGACGACCTTATTTGATTTGTTTCAGTATTTTACGTTGCATGAATGTTGATTAATTTTGAGGAAGACGACTAAATGGGCGAACATTTAGGCGTGAACTTTAAATACTTTTATCATATAAACTGTAGTGTTACACAAGGATTTCCGGCCCTAAGAAAAGCCGTAACAATGCACCTTGAAAAATACGATAATTTCACGTGTGTTTGATATCGCCAATCAGCTGCCACCACTTCATTCGTCTTTTCGTGCCATCCTATGAGTGCCCTCATCATTCTTAATCGAAGATCGTTTGTCGAAATTTTCTGCCTCGGATCACGGCTGCTAAAACACTTAAAAATTCTCATGGCTAGAGGGGGGGGAGACAACCAAAATACGAAAAGAAAAACTGAAAGTTACATAATCGGTGGCTTTGGTAATGGGATTTCTCCCGACTGAAAACGAAGATCGACAACAGGATGATTTGCCGCAGGCCGCTTTTGGTCGTGTACCCGAAAAGATAAAAAAGAATTCAATACCTGAGAACTTTGTAAATTGAAAATTAGCTGCTTTCACTCATGAGCTTTCTTGTTGAACGCTCGAATAGAAATTATTGTTTGAACTGCCGGAGTTTGATAGAAGTTTCTTTATAATGGCAAATGAATATCTTCTCGAAAAAGAGAGTGGAAAAAAGGGTTCAAAATGAAAATTGAGAACAAAATTAAAAGAAATTATGTTTCTTTCAAGACGTCTCTGCATGCTGTGTTTCAGATTGTTCATCGAGATTTAGCAGCTCGAAATGTGTTATTGGGTGACAACAAAGTATGTAAGATATCAGACTTTGGTTTAGCACGTGGTTTGGAAGAAGACATCTACACGGGAACGACTCAGGTGAACTCTGAATAAACTTTCTAATCAAATAATTTTATAAATAGCTTTCACTATCCTCCCTCTTTCTTCTCATCCTCTACTGTAAGTTCTTCGAAAGATAATATTCAATTGTATATTGTTTCATTTCTCATAGCACCGTTATTTTCTTATATTTTGCCATTTCCAAATTTCAAGGGTCGTCTTCCCTTTAAGTGGATGCGTCCAGAATCTCTATTCTATGGAACATCAACTACTATGAGCGATGTGTAAGTTTTGCTATCTTCTTTTCTACAACCCGTTAAGCCTGGAGTTTTCAGCTGTTTTGTTTACCTTTTTGGCGATTTGGCAATAAGTCCAAACAATAACTTACGGATTAAGATTATGTGAATATTTCTGTAGTCTACAGACGTGATGTGAGAGGTGTTTACCATTGGTATGTAGAGTAATGTGGAGAACTTCCCTATGGCTACGAGACATAACGTTTTGACTATAACATGTCTTTCATATGGCAGTTAGGGTTGAGCAAAACTATTGTAGATTCACTGACTTTAAAGATCCCTGGAAGGATTTTGAGGTTTGGTGAAAATGGGTCGGATGAAATTGTATAGATATTTACCTGTAAAACCAGAATGAAGGCAGACTTGCTAAATTTTCTGCTCCCTACCTCAACCCAACCTCTTCTCCCCCCCTCCTAACCCTAACCCCCGCCCCCCCACCCCTCCCATCATTTTCTCGTGGAAAGTTATACTAATGGATTTCCAACCAGGCAAATCTGAATACTCAAGTGTTTTTTTTCCAATTTTCTCAAACGAATCTTCCCTTTGAGGGACAGGATGTACACCTGCGGACTGCAGTATCTCATCGTCCGAATATACAGATAAAGCAGGAAATTTACGTCAAAAATTAAACTTTTCTTGCCACCTGTCGCCAAAGGTAAAGCATTTACATCTACCGAAAAGTGAACGCGAGTAGAAGGGAGAGGGGAAGGTTACAACAGAAGTCTAGGGATGATTCCTAGCTCAGAAGGATTCTATCACTAATCCTCCCCTCAATATAATTTAACAAGATATTCTTTGACAGGTTTTGTCTTTATCTGATCTCTTCTCCAGATTTATGTGAACTTGGAAATCTACGACGGCAAGAGCTATGTCAACTTTGATATGATGATGGACGAGGAGTAATGAAAATTGTTCAATTTATTTCAATTAATATTGGAAGGTATAGGTTCAATCAACGACGTATACCTCATTTATGACCTTACCTCTTAATTATGCAAGTAGAAGTGAAATTAGAGAAACTCCTTCATATTAACGATACAAAAGGAATCGTTTTGGAAATATGTGTTAGTAACGTTTGTATCAGGAAGTACATCGCATGTTATTTTACGGAGAAAACCGTCTGTTTAGCGAACAAATTGGACCTAAAGTTAAGTTTGATATTGGAATTAGTTAGAAATTCTTAATTTCCGACAAGTATTCGAAGAAAGCTTTTACTCAATAAATTGTTGAAAATGTAAACGTAAATTTAAGCTTGTAGCCCAATTAAGCACGTTTTAACTATGTTTATTCTCCGGCACATATACTACAGCAGCATTAAAGTTGCAACACAGGCTTGAATTATAGAGTCGGTTTCTGTATGAAAGTATTATTATTAAGGATGCTTTTAAGGACCGAGGTTTTGGTGAACGGTTCTGTCGACAGCAAGATTAAAAAACAAAATTTGAACTTTTTAACATTCAATAACACCTTTAAAGATCAATTGTATTCTAATTATCAGGATATTACAGCTTATAATGAATAAATCAATAACGTTAAAATAGCTTATCGGCAGACACAAAAGATTTCACAACAAATATTTGCTGCGAACAAAGACACATTGCCAAACTCTCGCAAACATGTCTTAACTATTGATGAATCCTTTCTGTAGTTCTTCAACTTCAATGCCATTCTGGGCTGAAATGATGGTCGTAGCTAACTCTCACCAATGAAATGCACAATTTCATCGTGATACCACGCTCATGATACCATGATCCCGAGCTAAACTAACTATTCTGCCCAAAAGCATCCGGAAATGAACCCATAAAAATAAGAATAATTTAAGGCTAGACATTACTTGAAAGTTACATTTAAAACGAGGAAACTCCTCCCTCCTGTCAGCAGAAGAAAAATACAAATACACGATAAAATTACAGGTTTGAAATCTGTTCAACGAACTTCAAAGGTGGCGAAATCGTCTATAAAGCTATGAGAACATGTTTTATCACATAAACTGCGGTGTTATACAAGGATATCTGGCCCTGGGAAAAACCGTAACAACACAAGTGAAAAAATACACACCCATATATACATGTTGATACACCCAATCAGCTGCTTACACGTCACTCGCCTTTGGTGCCACTCGGTCAGGTTGATGAATGAACGCAAAGCCTTCACGATTCTCAGTAGAAGATGTTTCTCGGAGCTTTCTCGAATTATGGCGGCTAAAACACTAAAAAAACCGTATCGCTGACAGACAATGAGGTTAAAACTTTCCTAGAAGAGGAAGAAAACCAATATGCTAAAAGAAAAACCGAAAGTTGCGTATTCAGTGGCTTTGGTGTTAGCATTTCTCTCGGCTGAGAATGAAAATCGACAATTGGAAGATTTGCCACTGGCCGATTTTGGCCGTTTACCTGAAAGACTTCTTCTGTTGGTAAGGACAAAGACAATAAGTGAGAATTTTGTAAATCGAAAATTACGACCATAGTTGTTTTTGTGATCATGATTCAACGTATTTTTCCATCTTAAGAGTCAGCGCCAACGCACTCCACGATTGTTATTTGAGGATTTTCGATTCATTTATTTTTATTAATTAATGAAGTCGGCTTTTCTTCCAAGTGAAGGGCTATTGTGTTTATATGATAAACAAAATAATAAATGGTTGCTTGTAGGTATGGAATTTCTCTTCTCGTGTTCAACTCGACATCTCACCCGTTCGCTACGCTCACTCGTAAGCTATCGAGTTAAACACTCGAAGAGAAATTCCATATCTACGCGCGCCCATGTATTATTTTCTATTTACAATCCATGTAGGAAAATAAGCTACATGATTATAGAAAGAGCTTTTTTCGTGGTTGATGCAAAGTTTTTCAGTGAAATTACACTAAGTTTCTGTTTGAGAAAACTATGGGCATCAACCTAACAAGGATAATTTACTACAATTGCAGCTACTATGACCACTGCACACCAAGAAAGCTTAACCCAGCATTGCGTCAACATTTCGTTCAGCAAGTCTCCTTAGTAAATTTGTTAACATTCGTCATTAGAAACCAGTGAATTAGAGTAAATATATTCTACATAGTTCACTGGTTGTCGCTATTCCAGTTCCTTTATTGTTCTAATCCTCGGTGAAAAATGTGACTCCAACTCTGCTTATATTCATCAGCGAACATAAATAGGTGCCAGGTCCTGTCAATAACTGGCATGACGAATTGGAGGGGTAACTTGATGTGGACAAAAATCCCATCCAGGAGGAATGATGACACTCCTCGTCATTTCATGCTTGAGACGCCGGGATGAGCAATGGCAGCTTGGGGTAATGAACTTGTTAAAAGTTAGCCCTTTTTTTCAACAAAGTTCCCTCAGGATCTTCTTCGGTTATTTTTATCGCTATCCAGTCTTTCACATTTCTCTATAAGTGTGCTCTGCATGTTTGAAAGTTGATCCCGTCGCTGTTTTCACAGAAGCAACGCTTCTTTCATGTTAAGCCTTAATCTTCGTTGAGTAGAACATGACTCAATGTTACTTATCGTCAAATGGCTTCACTCCAGACACACATTAAGTGCATGTGATACAAATTTGATTATTCGAAAGCAGTCAAATCAACTAATTAAGTTCTGCCTCTCGGGTGACTTCGTAAGCTTCATCTCAAGAATGCGTTATAAACCACTTCATCATTCTTATATTACGTACCCACAATGCCTATATAATAGCGCAGAACGATGTTATCACTGGCGCAGATTCAATTTCCGCCGGCAGAAACAACGAAAAACGTGTGGGAGGCTAAGAGAGTTTATTTTCTACACTGGCCCATTTAGCTAGGGTTTATTGGCGCTCATTCCTGTTGTAAATAATTTTTCCACGAGTAAGGAAGTAATCAACTTGTAAATCGTAAGTGTGTACTCTGTTTGTATTAACGTTAAGTACAATTCGTAACAGAGAGGTAATCACGTCATGACGAACCAGAGCTGCCCAGGTTCTTTGATCTTTTAGCCTTCTTTTCATTTCACTAGGTTTAAGGTAAAAAGCGGTCTCTATGATACACGACCGTACCTTCGTGCATGCAGTGTCACTATTCGAAACTTCGATCACCTCTCAAGTCGAACCAACTTCCTCTTTACACTGAAGAAGGGCTAGCACCAGTTCCGGTCTTCTTTCCAGCTTAATGAATTCAAATATTTATGATTGTATCACAGCGTAATACGAGAGAAGGTGTTTAAAGCAGAAAGAAGAACAAGCAGTGGCAGAAGCAGCAGGTAATTAATATAACGACCCCTAAAACTGTCGCCGTCGCTGTTCAAAAAATATCAGACTTTAAAATCACTGAATGACAATAAGCGTTATATGGCGTGTCTGGCGTTCCATTTGTTCTCGAGTTGTGTAACTTTCACTTTGTCTTTAATCGTCATTTCCGCTGAAAAAATTCGACTACTTTGCGACTAAACTCATCATAATCATTGTCTCCTTCGATATCTCCCCAGCTAATGCTCTGGAAGCCTTGATAAATCCCAATTAAGCAATAGAGAATATGTAATATACATTTATATCGAGGATGTACAATCTTTCGTTTCAGTTTCCGGGTAATTTGGACAGTCTCCGATTACTGGTTGTTAGCTTAATCTTAATGTTGGAAGTGTGATCTGTAAAAGTTTTAACCATTTAAGGGTTTAGCCTCGATTGAGAAATCCAGATATGGTTACAGATGTAACTGAATTAATCATTCAATATTCGAGAGTTCAATTCAATGGGGCAAAAAATGCATTTTCATTTTTCAGGCATGAAAATTCGACCGACCACAGAGAACTTTTGATCTGCGCCTATTGACATGAAATGATTAGCCTTGCTTATCTCCTAGGTGGCTCAATGTGTAGGATAGGGCCAATGGATCACCGCTTAATTACAATCGCTAATCTCCTGCAAATTCTGGCCTTTTCAATGGCGGATAAGGGTATAAAATCTAACCTCGAAGCACTCTCTAATAATGATTTTTATACAATAATATTTTACATCGGTTTTCAAGTCAACGACGGCGTACTTGAACTCGGTGAAAGCAACGAAATACCGAAAATTAATCATGGGAACTATTTTGGTGTCCAGTTTACGGAATACTCGACAATTTACTATTACATAAACGCTGTGTGAAATTGATCAAAGAGCAAAGACGTAAAATAACAGTTAAATATTCTGAATAAAACTTATCATATATGTTTGTTAAATCTAAAAGATATTTGGTGAAGGATTTCCGTTTTGCTCAAACATGTGTAACGCAAAAAAGTCATGTTCCACTGCTAAAGCTGAAGAGGCGAAATTTATGTAGCAAAACAGGTGATGTCATTCCGAAACAGTGTTCTTCGTAAACGGAAGGAACAAAGTGGCGTCCAGTGGAGCAACAATTTGGCTTCCAGATACAGAAACGTTTTCCCTGGAATTAAGTTCGATAACTACAAGACTACAATCTTAGTTTTGATTGATTGGTAACAGGAATGTCGGTAGTCTTACTCGTAATTAACAAATCGAAATCACGCTTCACGGTCGTCCTATTTTGTAAATTACCCGTACTATTACAGACCGAATTCGACTCTACTTAGTCCTATTTCCATAATTTTCGTTAGCATGCTCTTAGCAGATACACGTGTTTATCTTATAGTGATTTTACAAAGGTGGCCGACAACATTGAAAAGGTGGGACTACTGGACAACTTCAAGGCCGATAGGTGGACCTGTTGGGGTATGCTCTTTTTGAAAAGTATAGTAGAGTAAAAAAAAGAAATTAAAAGAAATACCACGCTTAAGACCATTTCCGAAGACTGGTATCTATCCCAGTACTACCAATTAATAAAATTAAATTCAATATCATTTATATATTTAATTGACTATACATTATGATTCCTAGACTACGAACATTCCAGAATCCATGGCTCCAGCAAACAATTCAGAAACGGTAGAAGGTCGATGTGTCGTAAATGCTGTCCATTATCAAGGTACTGTAATGTTAGACTGCCAAAGCGATGGCTTTTGGAACAACAGCTCACTTCAGGGAAGTTGTGTATGCAAGGAGAAGATGGAAAATGCAGAGTAGATAATAAGAATAGAGTAAATGAAGTGGCCAAAAGAATTTATGGAGATGAAGGAAATTTCGCGACACTGAACATAATGATTGAAGGATTAGGTAAGTTGTAAAACTTTCACTTTGTACAGGGTAATGGATTCAGCCTACACATTCTCTATACTCGTTTTTTTTGTGACCCGAGGGGAAACGAATTCGAAGTATTCATGAATTTCCGAAGCTAGACGGGAATTACGATGGGCAACTCTTTCACAATATATTGCTCACAAGGCATGCCCCTCTTAATACTCTATTCTTCAGATCATTCAAATATCTCTGTTCCATTCAGCGAACAAAAGGTAAACAGGATAAATTAGTTTCCTGAGAAGAAAAAGTGTAGAGGACACCAGCAGAAATAAAATTGTGACCGTAGTGATATAAAAGTTGGAATAATAACGAGGGAATTGAAAAGTTAAGTCTCACCAAAGCAACCACTTATAGGTAATACTCACCAAAGAACTTTTTTTCGTGTCTTACGCAGAGGTAGCTTCAAGTATTGCAGCCCCAGGAACTAAAGGTAAGTGAAGTAATTCCAGTTTAATCTGAGATTTTCTATCTTATTAACCAGTTTCTTTTAATTAAACAGACACCTGTTTGTTTGCATTTCCTGGAATCCTTGCAGTGCGAGTCGTGCATATGATTGGTGCATTCTCAGTTGACAATGGGCTATCCGAATCGAAGTGTCCACGATTTCTTCCGATTGTTGTAAACGTTAGAGCTATGAGCTTAGAGCTCAGCTTTAACGCCCATTATTCCTCTTAGTGAAAATATATCTCCCAAAAACAAAATAACTGACAACGTCACTTACTTTTCCTCTCCCGAGTCGTACCCTCTGTCCATTTGAAAGTAGCTGACAATGAAACTATCGGAAGGAACGATTATATAATTGACATTCATGGATAAAAACTTGGATTATATTCTTAAACGCAGTCTTAACCTTGCTTGAATGATCGGCCTCTAATTCAATCTACTTGCGACATGGAAACAGAAGATTGAATCATAATCATTAACTTATAATTTTGAAAGACATTTTGGCATTTATGCTCTCACAGAAACTAACAACCTTCTTCCATCTTTTTGTAGCCTCATTTAGGACAGTTTCCGCAAAACTGGAAAAAGGTAGATTATTTACTTTAACAAGAATAACTTTAAAACAACCAAATTTTCTTCAATTAGCGCTTTCAGAACCTTGAAACTTCCCTGCGGTATCATCTATTTTCTGTCATTTAAAGACCGGTCGCTGATCCCTAAAGTTTATCCGATAAGTAGTTTACAACTAGTTGTCCTTGATTTTTAAGACACATTTCTCCTCTTTTACTCAAAATCCAACAAGAGAAATCCCTCACCAGAGCTAAAATAGTTCCTTTAAATGCTAAACTATAAATTAATTGTAACTGTAACTAATCAAACTGTTCATCTTATTTCACTTAGTAGACACCATGAATGTAATTTATCTGAACGTCATCTATGGATTTGCGGGGCTGATAGTTCTGATCATTTTATTATTCTGCTATACCACTTTTTAAAGGTAAGGGTAGAAGTGATACAAACGCTGACAAGCTTTAAAAAGCTGAAAACGTGAGTGGAAAGGCTTTTCAACCCTGCGGCGAGAAATGAGGCAGATCATGTGAGAACTCCGACAAACGCGGAAGAGCAATGAACATTGCCTTTAGTAAAGTGGCGTGTTCATGCTGAAAAATACAAATTTTCAAGGGAGTTCTTGTGAGAAAAAAGAAGGAAAATACATGTTTATATTTTGTTAATCCTTATCTCTTCCCAGATGGTCCCTCCGAAGACAAGAAAATGATGTGCAAATGACAGCCTATTCAGAAGGCAGAGAGTACGACGGTAAATGTTACACGTACCAGGTGACACGCATCTTACCTTGCCTAGAAATATTTTCATAACGATAATCATCAGGATGAAAAACACCAAATGATGGTGACGATACAATGATGAAAATGATACCATCATAATAATAGTTAAAATAGTTATGATAACAATGATGGTACTGATGATAAAGCTAATTATAATGATGATGTTGATGATAACTTAAAAGCCGATCGCAGTTACAGTTCATCCATAAAAATACATTTTTCTTAAAAATGGGTCTACTTAGCATGACGATTTCATGGAAAAGGTGAGTCTTTCGGAGGGTAGGCTTATAGCTTCACCTTCTATGGGGGGCCCTATTATTGGTTCGGGGTGAAGGGGACATTTGGCTCGATTAAATGGGCGATCCAAACTTCATAAACATTTAATGGTCTCACTTTAAAGAAAGTGAATTTATGTATTTTGGTCCTTAACGTTTTCCAAGCGGTACCAATGCTTCCTCTGGTTGTGGCTGAAGATCGAACCACAAATGAAATTTTGGATGGTTTTGAGCTCGACCGCGCACAACTAAAGCTCGTAAAATTGCTTGGAACCGGAAACTTTGGCCAAGTATCCAAGGCTATTTACGGGCCTTCTCAGATACAAGTGGCCGTAAAATCCCTGAAAGATAGCGTTTCATAATCCTTTCTATATTTTTGTCATTGTAATTGCAGTATAGGTGAAAGTAATACAGGGTAAAAGACATATAGAGATCGCAGTTGTAAGAAGTTAAAAGACTTCTTGTTGTTTGAGTTTTCTTTGAAAGTTGTGTAAGCTTTAAGTCTGATTATAATTTCTTTATCTAGAATCAGCAATGATTAATATCTTCTTCCTTAAACTGTCATTTGGAAGTATGTAAATTATTACCAAATCATGTCACGGTTGAATTGGGATGTCACACGAGCTGATATTTAGTTCGTGAAAACCGCTGAGAAACATTAGTTATCATGAATATTAGCTACGAAGAACACATGGATTTAGTTTGCTGATGAAGACAACAGGAAAGTTAGACAACCAGCGTTTTACTTAGTGTCCTTCCCGTCAGCGACATCAACTGCATATATTATTTCAGTCGCTCTTTAGTGAACATTAATGCACACGACCTTTCGTCGCTGAGAAACCACCGCGGAAGCCTATTGCTATTACGCCAATTTGTCCTCAACCTCTTGTAACGGTAAATTCTTTTCGATCATCCATCAATCTCCGATCAACTTGGAACAATCAGTCAATTACTGGCAGCTGGTAAGTATACTCTCTGTTAGAGAACATTAGATTACTCTTCAACAACGACAGTTAATTGAGTCAAACAAGGGCCACTAGCTTTGTTTCATTGTTTAATCTTTTAAAGTTTTATTGTCGCTTCCTAAAGAACGCTGTTTCCATCTATTCGTCGTTTATAATCGTAATACCAACTCTTCGGCGTTTTCTAAGTTTGAATCAACGAAAGTAGTAGAGAAAACACCGTTCCTCAAAGGGAAAAACACCGACCCCTTTGAACATTTCCTTGTCAGGAAGTCGATCTGTCTGATGCAAAATATTTGAAAACTTTGTTGGCTTTTGACAGTATTTGGATTGCCACATTAACAAATAGCTGTTGCTTTAAGGTTTTGGTTGATTAAAGGCATCACCATTACGGCTGTTCTCTTTACTTTCTTGAAAGTTTGGACCTAGTAGGTGTTTATTTATGGATCAGAGTAGGTATTTATTTATGTACGTTCATTCAGACTTCGAATTCCACACTAAGGACAGGTCAGTCTAGGTATGTACATGTAGATAATTGATAAGAAAGGTTCTCGCTGACCACTTGTCTATGGAAAAAATTGAAAATGAATCCGGTTGCTCTTTCATACGGCGGAAAAAAATGGAGAAAAGCTTGGACAGAAGCATATTGATGAGTGATTTAAGAGAAAGCAACATGAATCTTTGTCACGCCACCAGGTATCCGTTTCATGAAGTCACTTCTCGATCATAATTTTAATTTGTAAAATTGTAGTGGTTTTTGTATTCTGCGTGGCCCGTCATTTTGAATTTAAAACTGGATTTCTTTCTGTAATATCATTATCAAAAAACGTTACAGCTTAAGCAACTGCCATTGTCTTTTCCTTCATTTAGTTGAAATTAACGTGGAGGAATGAAATTGAAGTGAGACGTCTTTCAGATTTTTGGAAAGCATTGTAGAATTAGTTGCATTCCTACCTATGTGATGCTATGTTAAACTGACAGTGCAGACAGGAAATTGTAGGGCATATCTCTGACTGCTAGGTAACGATTTATCCGTAAGTGACTTAAATCTACAGTGAATGGAATATGCAAACAAGCCCGACTTTAAACTGATACCAGTTAAGACATTTTTAGAGAAATTGAGGCTCATTTTGATCAAGACGTCAGGCGACAAAATATCATTACTCAGGACTGAACGTCTTATTTACATCGACGACGACTTAATTCGATCGTTACCAATACTGTAGGTAATAATTTTTTTTTAGCTGTCAGCTTTTTAGGGACACAAAGAAGAAACAATCTGGAAATGAATCGAGTAAGTCAAAGGCGACTCTTCGAGTTCTTTCATGGGTTCCTTTAATGAAAAGCCTGTACTTATGTCCTCAGGACACTTTGCCTATTTTAAATATTGCCAGATGAAATTAAGTTTTTCAGTTTTATCGTCAAACGTCGTATAATTTTGACTTATCTGAAATACACCGTACCACAACCAGCCATTCACAGTAACTCAATAGCGAGATGTTAATGTACATTACGAATCTAACATTGTCTATCAGCCCACGGCCATGGAATAGCCAACAACAATTGCTTGGCGTGTTCATGTGCTATTAAAAGTTACCAATCAAGCTTTCCGTTTTTACAAGAATGACTTGGGTCGCTTTTAACTACAATTTTTAACCAGAACACAACCCATGCTTCAGAATATCATTTACGTGGGTCTAGTTACACCGGCATCTTTCTTCATATCTTTTAGCATTCTGAAAACTCACCATGTTTCTCCGTTCTGATAACTCACACGAGACTTTCGACATTGTTGATCATAGCATTTTGAAGGACGCATGTCACTTACTAGTTTTGTCCTCAGTAGCTCACCCGTAGAGTCTCTGTGGTCTAGTGGTGGGGCATCGGTACGCGGCATCAGAAGGTCTTAGGTTCTATTCCTAATGGGGATTCAGGCTCTGTTCCTCATCCCAAGCTCGTGACAAGACGAAAAATATCTGTATTCATGTTAAACAAGTGTTTCCATCCTTTGAGACAGCCGCCTATTGATAGGTACCTGTTCGTTGGTATGTTCGTATGTAGCCCAAGCAAAGTTTTGTAAAGAATAAAAAAGGCTCACTCAGATATTCATGCCCAACTTGACCTTACGCCTCCAATGAAATGGCCCCCATTTTATATTCATGACTATTTTGATGCAAAAGGAACGATCGAAAGAAGCGTTCAGGAAAAAAAACTATGCGAATTTCACGGACCGTCCACTAAACCCCTAAAACCGTTAAACTCAATCAACAAAATCCCATCATCTCTTTGATTGCGTTTCTGGCCTTACATCATTGAAAAGCTTATCAAGATCTTAGCCCTCCTCAGGGGATCAAAAAAGCTGGTTTGTTGGGTTTTCTTTAGTTTTATGTAGAGATAACATAATTCATTTTCTTGATTCACAACAGGTTAATGCACAACATATGCTTTATGGACCACTCGTTGGTCGCAGTTTTCACTCTTCTACTCTTTGTTACTCTTTCATCAACTGATCAAGGTATGGAATTAATAAAGCCTCATGTTAAACTGGCTGAGGCCATTACTTGTTTAATTCTGGAGCCCTACAGGTCTCGTCAATTCCGTTTGCAATGTGGGCACTTTGAATAACGGTCTTACAAAAAATCGACGTATTTTCTAACCAAAGGGTGATAGTTTTTTCTTTGTTTTACCTGAGACCACGTCGTTGCTTAAACCGAACAATCTTTATCAGAACAACTTGGATACTACGCATGCAGTCGTTGGTCAAAAGGGGTGTGTAGATGTGACTAAGTGAGTGCGTGTGTGAAATTTTTTACTTACACACCATCCTTTTGAAAATAATCTTACGCCAGCTAAAGAGTACTATCTTTGTGTCTACGTGACCACGGGGCAGACGGTGTGGCAAATCTCGTGTCTATGTCTACGGTTTGCATATTCTTTCGAATTCTCTCCCCGCCAACCCTCTTTGTGCAATAACCCTCTGTGATCAGGGACCAAGTTACCCTGTTCGGTTTGTTTGTTCAATCGTTTCGACTAGTGCAGGAAATTCATGAACACAGAATCAAATCAGAGTAAACTCAACACACGGTTCAGTGTAATTGTTAAGTTTTGTTGAATCGGAAAAAGTGTATCTACAGTTTCACTTTTAACCTCTTCACATCTTTTCTGTTAAGTAATTTTAGAGAAAAAGCCAGCGTCAGGAGGAACATGGATTTGGGACCAATCAAGAATACAGACTGCAGCTGGCGGGCCCTGCTGGGGTACGATTCTATCATTTATCTGATGTAAATTAAGAATGCAAGTAAAGAAATGATCCTTACAAGTGAGATGCAATTAAAGTAAAAAAGACTGAAAAAAAATATATGTAAAATTTCAAGCTTCGACCAGATACGAGTCTGCTTCTCCTGGATATTTGTTAGCGGTGCCAACCAACTGAACTACGAAACAACGTTTCGTGGGCCAAGGGAAATTTGTGTGAGCTCTTCATTCCCGAAAAGTAATCTGATCACAGTCGTGATGTATTACAATAGATTATAAAGTTTAGAATTGTACCTAAATATTGTAAAGGTAATAGCATTCCTTTCAAGGTTTATGGGGGGATTTTAGCTTCGGAGAGGCCTCGCAATGAGACTCAAATAGGTTGGCAAGGATTATCTTTCAAATACCTATCACTCAATTTTGCTTATTTTGGTTTTGATTGGTACTGCCTGCCTCGTTTTTAAATGTGAGAAAACCCTAAGCGGGACTCGTCTGGGTTTTAAACTCTTTCTTCTCCTCAATTTTTCAGTGAATAATGACCCTAACTACAAATGACCCTAACTACAAATCTTGAACCAGGGAATATTAAACCACAAGGTTCAGACTGGTTGGCAAAAATTATATTTCGTCAACTGTAGGGGTTTGAGGGTTTAAATCTATACTCAACGAGGTCTCAAGAAACAAACCTTTTTTTTTCGTTTCCTTATCTCGTTTAAATTTTTAAAAAAATTATTTCTAATCAAAACTAAGAGTTGTCTATAAGCAGTGCTACTTTGATAATTTTTTCATAAATTTTTTGTTTCTCTTTTACTATATTCACCTCTTGTTAAGCCATATGTTTACCTTACGTACTGTAGGAAATTACATACACCAAGCTCACAACCGGAACTGCTGCTAAATTCTTTCTACTTTATTGAATTTGGACTCAGTCATTGCAAAATGGTTTTTTCCTGGGGATTGAGCTAATTAAGCTCATTCTTTAACCACTACACGATTTAACCATTTCAACTGGTTATTTCTAATAGTGGACGAAGCTGACATATTATTCAACCTGTGATATTTCTCTGGATTCATTTCCGCAACCAAACAACTGGCTTCGAAGTGATCCCATCGAAGTTCACAGTGGTGTTAAAACAGTCCTCGTTACCATTGAGTACAAAACAAATAACTGTTCGTCGTATTCTGACAAAGGAGGGAAATATTGCAAAAACTATTTCCACTTATACGAACATCAGTCCTGGCAACCAACGAGTCCCGACCCTCTAGCGAACAATGCTACATCTGACAAGATTGCGAAAACAGCTGCACCAGCTCTGGGAATAAAAGTAACTCAAACCTTTCGTGTAGATGTTAAAAGAAAGTACATCGTTTTGGCATTTAATGACCGGGGTTCATGTAGCGTCTTTTTCTCCGTCACCGTTAGTTACTACGTCTGCCCAAGATTGACTCTTATAAGTAGCTTGGTTTTACTACCACAAACAGTAGCTCCAGCCAACAACTCAAAGCCAGTTGAAGTTAATTGTGTCACTGCTGCCTTTAACAAGCAAGGCACTCTAAGTATGGATTGTCAGAGTGATGGGGTCTGGAACATCAGTTCACTTAATGGAAGTTGCATATGTCCGGAGGGGATGGAAAATGTAGGAGGAAAATGCGAAGGTATACCACGTAATATGATAAATTTAGATAACGTGGCAGTGCGGTTTTAAATAATGATATACAAACCAGATAAACATGACAATTAAGTTATATCAACTGCGTTGTTAATGCAAATTGGCCACCCTAAAGAGTTTCAAAGCTGATGTTTCGAGCGTTAGCTCTTCACCAATCGCTCTTCCGAAGGGCTAACGCTTGAAAAGTTAGCTTTGAAACTCTTAACTCAGTTTTTAAAACCAAAATTGTTATTATACTCCCTCACCGACGCAGCACCACAGTTTGTTTAAAAAACTTATCCCGCTTCATAAACTAGTTTACATTGGTGATATAGTGTCATTGACTTGTAGAGTTTTTTAGGCCGACAAAGCGGCAAATGAGTGGGCATGCTTGTAACGCGCGAGAAATTGTATGCGCGCAAAGGAATGGGAACGACAATACCTCTATAGTAACACTATTGAGGAAAAACGGTAGCTTTTTAAAATTTCCCACTATTTGTTTTTCATTTTGCGAGGATAAGTTCAAACCAAAACAGATAAGGTTGTCGTTTTCAGAAAAGTTTTTGGAACCCCCTCCAAAAAATGTTTCAGAAACAGGTGTGAATTTAGGGAGTGAGGTAGAGCATCCGCAACATGGCTACGGAGTTCGTCGCGACTGCTATCGCTTTAGCTGTCTGTATTAATTTAAAACAGCTTACGGTGAACTATTAGTAAAAGAATGCTTCTTACCCTTCAGACCTATCCATAAAAACAAAAGAACATAAAACGATGCCCTGTTCATTCCCCAACGAAATTTATTTACACTGGATGCATAAAACTCTCCTCGACGCGCCAAATTCGCTGAGCATGCGCACTCGTTTTGCCACCGTCTCTTTCAGACCAGGAAATAGATAAGAAATGCGCATAAGTTTTTTCAAAATTATTAATTTGCATTCAGTGTAAAATGTTTCCATCTTTAATCATCTCTATTCCTTGTTGGCTTATTCTTCCCATTTAAGTGTTTTACCGATTGTTGTTTTACACCGTGCATAAGCATAAACATAAGAACATAGACACTCTCTTGTTGTTATGCCAACGCTCGTTCTTTCCTCGTTCTCGCGCTTATGTCGCCGATTGAAACAACATGCCTATGTTTATGTTTAGGCTCATGCTTATGTCGCAGTGCAAGCCAGACTTTTAAACCGATGTTTTAACGCTTTACCCTCGTTTGAGTTAAGGTTGCATATCGCTGAAACACTTCTTAGAAAAGCGTGAATTACAATCAATAAGCGCTTGGTGTAGAAGGTGACAAGCGAAATATTTTTTACGCCAATGACTTTGTGATCGTCATTAGAAACACACACTTGTCAGCATCCGTCAGCATTATTTATGTGTCAATTTAATTTCCAGAGTGTCCGGAGGGACGATACAACGATGAGAGTGGCTTAAATTGTACAGGTACAGACGCTGTTTTTCGTTTCTTTTTCTGTGAAGAGTTAAAATATTCGTAACACCTTTTTTTTTAAGGATTTAAATAATGACGATTCCGTTTGAAAAGCTCGAAGTATGATATCTGTGAGAGATGAATATTTTGAACGAATGTCACCTCCAATGTCTGTGAAGTCGCAAAAAAGAGAGAGAAAAATATAAAAACGAAACAGTTGCTTGTGGTAAATCTCAAGCCCATCGAACAAAGCGACGTCTTTGGAACGTTTCCATAGAAATTGCTTAAAATAAGTATGAGAAAATTTTTTTTTTTTGATAATGCGTTTTGACAGAGAGGCTGCTTTGTACAAGAGTTAGCCTTAGTTACTGCGCGGTCGCCCAGTTAACAAGGGCAGAGACAGATGTTCTTTCGTCTTTTCATGAGCGTGGGATATGGAAAAGGTTATTCTGAGGCCCCACGAGGAATCGAACCTCAGGCCCACGATGCTTTCGGCATTGCTGATCCTAACAGTACGCAGAACGCATATCAGAAATGAACCCAGTAATGGCCTGTAGCTAGCCCATAGAGTCTCTGTGGCTCAGTGCTAGAGCATCTGAGCGCAAACTCGTAGCATCGTGGCGTGGAATCCAAAGGTATGAGGTTCGATTCCTCATGGAGAATAAGAACTTTTTCTTTGTCCCAAGCTCGTGACAAGACCCAAAAACATCTTTCTTTCGTAAATACGTAGTTTCATACCTTAATAAACTCTTTGTTTAAAGGTTTTTTTAAAATTATTTTCTAACTACATTTGCTAATGAATGCGTCTGTCTTTAGAAATACCATCTGCCCCCCAAAACGTCAACGTTATCTTTGTCAACCAAAGCACACTGGAAATACAGTGGCAGCCTCCTGTAGAAACTGGGGTTCAGACCTATGTGTTTTATGAAGTTGAATGCCGTCGACCATGTGAAGGTGAAGACAAAAGCAAGTGCGTAGATAAAGCGTGCGGGAGTGATGTCATTTTCAAACCGAGAAAGGATGGCTTGAACATTACTCACGTTATTGTTGGAAACCTCACTTCATTTGTAAACTACACGATAACAGTCTACTCAAGGAACCGAGTGAGCGATTTGTCGAAAAGAATACATAGAATTCCGGCGAACTTCGCGGCAATTACCATAAGGACTAACGGATCACGTAAGTTATCGAGCAGACTAAATGGAATACCATACAAACTTTTATCTGACTGCTTATTTCTCTAAATAATATGCACGTAGGGTTTGTTAGAATTTAATGGCCCCATCGATTTTATTCACAAATTGCACCATTTTTCGCTCTAAATCGTAATCGTTTCCCAGTCAATGAGAAATCTTTTCTGAATTAACTAATTAGAGGAAAATGAAAGACAACTTTTGCACCTTCTTACAAACCAGCCCATCACTGAATCAATACGATATTTGTACAACTGAATAATTATTTCTTTGAGCGACTGAATTTTGCGATTTCAAAATGGATGTAATAAGGTGGTAATTGAACTTCATGTCGTGCAATTTCTTATACAAATTGCACTTACCATAAAATATCAGAGGTGATTCTACTGTCGAAGTTCATGACAGCTTATTTTTCTCTATTTTAACAAACAAGTTCCAGGTAAACCGGGAGTGACTGTTGGACAACCGGAGGAGACTGTTGTAGTATCTTGGACTCCAAAGGAAAAGAACGGCGTCATCAAAGAGTATCACGTGACTTATGTAAATGAGGATGATGCTTCGGAAACCAAGACTCTCACCACAAAGAAAATGGAAGCGCAGTTTGATTTGAAGGCGGGAAAAACTTATCAATTTCAGGTCGGGCAAACTCTCTCATAAGTTTGAATTAACTTAAGCATCAGTCGAAGTTGCTTCTTATGCTCGTGAGGAAGAAACCTTTTAGATAAATGCTTTACTATTACCTCCCTAGATATTTGCTACAAACGACATCGGAAGGGGCCCTGCTGGGATCAAGACGTACACGCCAAGAAAAGGTTAGGTTGTTCATCGTTGTTGAGTCAATCGGCTGTAAGATTGACATTATCAAACTATCACCTAATGAATCTTAGTTTTCACATTTTCTTTCAAACCATTCCCGTCAGTGAAGTGGAAAATCAAATCAACTAAAATTGAATAAAGCTTATTCAAGTTTTTAGTTCACATACTGGTCTACAATGACAACAACTCAATCCAGTTACCGACAGGAAGATTCGTCTTGTGACCTTTTACAGTTTAATAGACAGGAATGATTGTGAAGATATTGCAAGTCTAGACAACCAATAAAGGCATAAGGATAAACCGGAAAGGAATGAGGAAGGTTACGGATTGAGAAGATCATCACAGCTTGTCAAGGACAAATTTTATAACTAATCCCTTAAATTGTTTATTTTGTTGTTGTTGTTGTGAGGCGTAAACCTTGAAGCGGCTCCTTTGAGCAACAATGAATGAATGAAAAATAAAATTAAATGAAAGAAATAATGACAGAAATGCGAAGAATAACGATTGGACGGAAAGATTAGAAATTATGTATTTGAAAACCGTATAATAAAATTCAAGCTAATTTTCTCTGATCGAAAATTATTAGATTTCATTTTTTCCCGAACATTCTGATTGAAAGATTGAGTAATTACTGTCGTGATTAAATGGTTACAGATAACTCGAAGAAAATACAGCTTATCGTTTACGCAGCTGGAGGAGGAGGAGCACTGCTGCTTGTTATACTAATAGTGGTCATTGTTGTCTTTGTCGTGTCTCGTAGAAGGTAAGTATTTTGCAGAAAATGAGGTGTTTTTAATTTTACCTTGAGATCAGGTCTTGATTTCATTAAAATGGGAGCGAAAATCAGTTAGCGTCTTTATCTAAAGTATGGTGCGATATATATATATATATATTTATGTGTGTTAAACTAGGAGAAGTAAAAAGAGTGTAGAGGAAGCCTATATGCAGGCCCTTCAGCAAGGTAAGACTATTTGATATTAGTACAGCTAGCGTTGTACCTCGAAATCTGCGATCTGATTGGCTTTGTTACTCACTATCCACACCTAGCAGACAGCGAGTAAATTGGGCGGTAGTAAACAAAAAAAAGTAAAATTATGGAATTGTCGCGTTGCCCGGATCAGATTTGAACGACTAGCAGATTTACATTATCACAACTAGAACATTCGCTTTGATTAATTATCACCAATAATAATTTTCTCGATAGAGGTTTCGGTTCTCTTCTGAGAATGATCAATTTAAGATTATTGCTCAATTAATTTACAGAGTTTCTGCATTTTCGAGTGACATGATTAACGCTTGACCAATTAGCGTGTATTTACGTTTATAATCACCTGGCTTGTTGCTAATAAATATGTGTTTCCGCTCTCTTCTCTTTCGCTTCTACTCTGTCGAAGCCACTTATACAAATGGAACTGTGCAGTTACCAAATCATAATATCATTGCACTGAAAGCAAATCATTGACGTCTTTATGCCATATTGGCCATTCAAGGACAGAAAAGACATTACCTCCTTTAATTGCATACCGTAATTGAGATGGTAGTTTCAGAGGTGTGATGTAAGTCAATATTTCCTGAAACTTTCCATTTTTAGGAAATGAACTTCAAACCACGAATCCTCGAGACCAGCGAACCTACATCGACCCTAACGACTACATCGACGTACAAGAACATCTGACATCATTCACGACTGAACTAAAAAGAAGTGACATCAAACTCGAAGGAGTTATCGGACAAGGTAAATGTTTAACCTAGATCAATATTGACGATAAGTTGACTATTGTTGAGTCAGGGAAGGAGTAGGTTCGCAGTTGCTCAGATGCTTGGATTGATCTTTTAATTTTAGTATATGTTGATACGTACAGGTTATTATATTTAGCTTTTGCGCAGTTGTCATACAAGTGTTTGTCAGATAACTTTTCGTTATCAAAGGTGTTTTCTTCTCTAAGGGAGTTTGCGGATGTCTACAAAGGAATATTAAAGTCTCGTGAAGGCAAAGGAGTGGTTGCTGTCAAAGTCTTGAGGGTCAGTCCCGTCATGCATTGCTTTGATAAGATGGACATCGTACAGGGTAGCTTAAATCATTCAGTCAGATTAACTTTACTTATCTTTTGCTGATACGTGTAGCTTTGCGTTCGTTATTTCGTCCTCTCAGTTATTCTTATTTCATATCCCACCACTGATGACGAGATTCATAAATCTAATATCATGAGAGAATGTCGATGTTACTATGATAAATGCACTATTTCGTTGAAATGTTCCTTTTTCTTTATTTCAGCCTGGTTCCAGCGAGAAAAATCAGAAAGATTTTCTTTCCGAAGCATCCTTAATGGGCCAATTTGATCACCCAAATGTTATCCGCCTTGTCGGAGTGGTGACACGAAGTAAGAGGAGAACTGAACAATCTTTATTGAAGACTCGACAATGAAATCATGAAGCTACTTTGTGTCAGTTTTAACATACGGTTATATACAATCATACTAGATTTAAAGTTGAATTGATTTCCATGCTTTCAGGTAGACCAACGATGATTCTAACGGAATTCCTGGAAAGTGGATCATTGGATCACTTTTTACAGGTTCGAGACTTGCATCTAGTTTTCTGTGTGCTTCGCTACGCTTCGTTTGCAATAGATAGGAATAACGAGTTGGTTCTTGATCTCGCCTGGCGAGGGTTTAACAACATTCTTCTGTAAAGAACAACAACAACATCAACCAAAAACAGTTACTCAAACCTAATCAAAATACAGAAACAAAGTTCTGATTGGGAGGCTTGCGTTTGTAACTGCTCATTTTGTGTCATAAACACCTTATGAGGCAGTAATTGTAGTGTTTTAAAATTGCAATAATGATGCACTTTACGGAAACCCTTTACATCTCTCCATCAACCTTCCTAACAAAGAAAAAAAAGAAGGCCTTGTAGTTCTTCCAAATTGTCCTCCCTTGATTTACGTTACGGCTACAGAGCAATTGAACATGTCGCATCTTAACCACTTGCATTCGGAAAAATCCAGGGTATTTAAATTTAGGTGGTGGACCCGGAGGACGCAGAAAGGTCTTACGTTACAAAAAATGAATTGAAGGGAAAAATCTCAGACAAAAGGGAAATTCAAGGCATTTTTAGTCCTTAGTTAAAAACGCTCCCTTAAAAATCGTTAATAATTTATTTATACATTATTCCAGTCCTAATGCAAATAAAAATGACGACGAGTTTCCTACTTCTAACCTCGTCGACTACGCACCTAGAGTTAGCAGAGAATGGAGCCTCCATTGATCATTTGGCCGGGAGGGGGAAGGGCTTATAGAGGTACAACTGTAGCTCATTGATGTACCCTTCTGATTATATTTTCATACTTCTGCGCTACAAATTAACGGGAAATGTAACTTTAGCGGAACTAAAAAGCGTTCACAACATTTATCACTTCTGCAAACTCAGCTGAACCTCTACCTTCGCTATAAACTTTAAACCTCTCCAAATCTCTGGCTGCATTGTCAAATGAAGTCTCTTTTCAGAAAAATCTATGACGATTTTGTACCTGTATCCATGAAGTACCAATATCTAAAGAGCAAACATATATTAAAACTGTCAGGAAAACTTCGCTCTCGAACACATAATGGCAAGTTTGTTTTCAGTAGTTTCTTACCCTCAAGTTTTCCGCCATCTTTGATTTCCGCTGTACATACCAGCTACTTACCACTGGCTCAGTTACGACTTGGCAAAAATGGCGGACAACTGAACCAGGAAATTTGTTTTGTTGACCTTTGGTTAACAAGTAATTTTAAAGCTCGTTAAATGTAATGTGATGCAACTATTTTGGAAGTATGTAAATTATTACAAAATCATGTCACGGTTGAATTGGGAAATCACACGAATTGATTTTAGTTTCTGAAAACCGCTGAGAAACATTAGTTATCAAGAATATTAGCTACGAAGAACACATGCATTTAGTTTGCTGATGAAGACAACAGGAAAGATAGACAACCAGCGTTTTGCTTAATGTCTTTTCCGTCAGTGAAATCAACTGCATATATTATTTCAGTCGCACTTTAGCGGACATCGATGCACACGACCTTTAGTCGCTGACAAACTACCGCGGAAGTCTAATTGCTATTACACCATTTTGTCCTCAACCTGTTGTAACGGTAAATTATTTTCGATCATCCATCAAACTCCGATCAACTCGGAACAATCAGTCAATTACTGTCAGCTGGTAAGTGTACTCTCTGTTAGAGAACATTAGATTATTCTTTAACAACACAACGATAGTTAATTGAGTCAAGTGAGTGGTTTATATCATTGTTTACTCGTTTAAAGTTTTATGATCGCTTCTTTAACCCTTTTTCTATTTATTCATCGTTTATAATCTTAATACATACTCTTTGACGTTTTCTAAATTTGAATAAGCGAAGGCGACAGAGAAAACATTGTTCCTTTAAGGGAACAACACCGAACGCTTAGAACATTTCTTTGTGAGGAAGTCGATCTGTCTAGTGCAAAATGTTTGAAAACTTTGTTGGCTTTTGACAGTATTTGGATTGCCTCATAAACCGGACCAGAGTAGGTATTTATTGATGCATATTCATTCAGACTTCTACGTTAAGGACAGGTCAGTCTAAATATGCACATGTAGATAATTGACAAGAAGGGTTCTCACTGACCACTTGTTTATGGAAAGAAATTGAAAATACATCCGGTTGCTCTTGCATACGGCGGAGAAAAAATGGCAAAAAACTTGGAGGAAGCATGTTAATGTGTGACTTAATTGAGAAAACAACACAAATGTTTGTCACACCACCAGGTAGCCGTTTCATGAAGCTACATCTGGATCACAATTTTCATTTGTCAAATTGTCCTGGCTGCTTTATTTTGCGTGGCCCGTCATTTTGTATTTAAAACTGAAATTCTTTCTATAGTACCATTACTAGAAACGATACAGCTTAAGCACCTTCCATTGTCATTTTTTTTTTTCGTTAAAATTACCGTGGAACAAACATCCTAAAACGGCACACCGCGATGTAATCCTTTCAGCTAAATCTCTTACATGCACCCAGTGCTTGCAGCGATCATTTTTTTCAATTTTTAGGGTAACATTATGGCTTATTTTCAAAGTTCCATCATCCTGTAAAAAGGGGAGGGGGGTGGGGTGGGATATGAAACAAGCTGCTTCCTTGTAGTTACTTTACCTTTTTTCACATAGGGATAATGTATTTGATATCTTGATTCAACAACAGATCAACGTTCATCATATGCTGTATGGATCACTTTTTGGTCACAGTTTCAATTCTTCTACTTTTTGTGACCCTTTCATCCTCTGATGAAGGTATGTGGGATCAATAAAGAGGGTTGTAATGAGGTGATGGATTTCACGGCTGACGATTAAAATTTTGGTCATTTTACGGCCAACGGTTGATTTTTTCCGTTATGGTTAAATTAAAAAGTTTTACGCGAAACTTTCTTTACGACTTATGGTTAAAAATTAGTCCATTTTTACGGTTAATGTTTGTCAGATCAGAAAAGCTGTCAAATTTACACAACTTCATTAATAACCTTTCAACACATTTCTCTGTAGTGATTTTAGAGAAACAGCCAACACCAAGTAAGAGTTGGATCTGGGATGCATTAAGGCCAGCTGGTGTATCCGGTGGGCCGGCCGGGGTATGATTCGATCTTTTAACTGTTGTTTAGTCATCTGAGTTTAGTTCATATTCTTCAATACTCTTTTAATATTTTTATATGTATTATTTCACAGTGGACGTGAATTTTACATGGTTCTTAAGCACACTTTTCTTTTAAATAAATACTGAAATGAAGCTTGAGAAGATCCTAAGAAAATAACGCGATCTATCACAACATTTTCTTTTCTTTCGTATTTTTTCCCTTTCCAATCAAAAACTATCTTTTTAAGCTGAAAATTTTCAATAAGGAATGCTACCGTCCCCTTTCACACGGTTTTAACCTCTCGTTTAGTCATAGGTCTACTTCAAGCACTGAAGCTGGAAGTTAAAACATGGATGTTCTCAATTAAAACCCCCAAAACACAATGCTATAATGAATGAAATCCAGTGTTCCTCTGTTACAATCGAAAATAAGCTCTTTTTTTAATGGATAGAATCTAATAACCTCCTAATATATTATTTCAACTGACTAATAGTGGGTGAGGCTGACAAATTACCAAACCTGTGATATTTCTTTGAATGGACACCCACAACCAAACAACTGGCTTCGAAGTAAACCTATAGGGATCCACAGTGGAGTGAAAGCAGTCCACATTACTATTGAGTACCTAACTCGTAACTGTTCGTCCTATTCTGACAATGGAGGGAAATATTGCAAAGAGTATTTCGACTTATATGTACATCAGTCTGGGCAACCAACGTACCCCGACCCTCTGACAAACAATGCTACCTATGAGAAGATTGCTAAAACAGCTCCGTCAGCTCTTAGCATAAGAGTGCCTCAAACGTTTAATGTAGATGTTAAAAGAAAGTACATCATATTGGCGTTTCATGACCAGGGTTCATGTACTGTCCTTTACTCCGTCGCTGTTAAATATTACGTCTGCCCAGAGACAGTTCATGTTGGCGGTTTGGTGAACTTACCACGTACAATGGCTCCAGCTAACAGCTCAGAGCCAGTTGTAAGTGGTTGTACTAAAAATTCCGTCCACGAGCAAGGTGTTTTAAGGGTGAACTGCCAAAGTGATGGGGTCTGGAACATGAGTTCACTAAACGGAAGATGTATATGCATGGAGGATATGGAGAATACGAGGGGGGAATGCAAAGGTACACAATAACATAGAAGTGCAGTGCTGAATAATTCTTCAGGACTAAAACCTTCTCAGGCTGGCAACATGATTAGACAAAAAGATGATTAGTTGTTAGCTCGGTAATGAAATAGAGTGCCAAGAATAAAATCAGCGAAAGTCAATTGAAATGACGTTCCAATGATTCGTTTATCATTTTTCAAAGTCTGAGATTCCGATGAGTTTTTTTATTACTAAAGAAGCGTGTAAAAGTCTCGTTGCATGTGATTAAAAACTCTACAATGCAGAATGTAGAAAGTGTTAATTGAGTACTAAATAGTTTTGCCTTAATTGAGTCAGATTGAGTGTTTAGTTTAGGATTTTTTTCCCTGGATGAAGAGCATTTCGTAAAGTAAGCATTCAAATTTCCCACGAAATTTCTTGAGGATGGTAAATTGTTCGTGTAGATCTTTGTTCCTCTGATTGTGGGCGTTACGCAGGTGTTCTCCAGTAGCTAAGAGCTTGTGTTTAACAATATGTTGGAAAAGGTGTCAGGTGAAAAAGAGGATAAGCGTTTTTGCGTCTCGTTATGAACGTAGGAGAAAGAGAAAATTTGGATTCCCCACGAGGAATCAAATCCCAGACTTTCGGATTTTGCATTCCGACGCTCTGTCAGAGAGACTCTCTAAAGCGAACAAGCTCAGTACTAGTTTCATAGATAGTGCGAAACGCTTCCTGCACACTGTTAGGGTCAGCAAAATCGAAAGCGTCAAGTAAAGAAATAAAATTAAAAAAATATGATAAACACGAGCTCAGTAATGTAATAGACAAAGTCTAGTAAGGAGATGAAAAAAGCACATTTCTCTACGATCAGACAATTAAAACAATTGGAATATGTATCCTCAAGACCTCTCGCCTATATGTTTCAGTTTCATCGCTAAAAATCATTGCAAACCATCGCCAACCCCCAAACCTTCTTCGTTCCTTTTTGGTCTTCGTCTTCTGATTGAGGTGCTTTATCTTGAGACCAGCTCTCACTGTGACATAACCATAAGTATTAGCGTGAGAAAGCTCGATTTATTCTTAGCATAAATAATAGAATGGTGGAAGCTTTAACTCTAAGGAAAGAATCTAATCAACTGATAAGTCCATAGTCAATTACGAGCATAAGTTTAAAGTAAATGAAATTAAAATTTGACAGGATCAATTTCCACTTGAGTACGTGAAATCCCAGTTAAAATGAATAAACTCTTTATATTTAGTCGTTTGGAAAGTGACTTGTTAGTGACAGGGATGGCTTGTAGAATGGAGGCTACGACCGATGGTAATGGCCTTTCCCTCCGTCACTGGTTATTGAAGAAAACTCTCAACTCCACAGTTTAGCTCAACTTATTTGTCTTTGGCTGAGATGGATGAAAATTTTTAAATCGACTTTATCAAGATATCGATATAATTTCTTTCTTCAGATTGCCCGGAAGGTAAATACAACGAAGGGAATGGCTTTAACTGCACAGGTTCGGATGCAAATATAGCTTTGTAATTTGAATGGCATCTGTTCGATTATAGTTAATTGGTTAAATATTTGTGGTCCCAAGCTGTCTCCAACTCTTCATATTTATTTTCAGTTGTTAGTGCATCACTTTACCGTGGATATCTCGAAATTTTGGTTCACTTGCGATTAATTTTGTCATCTTCGTGAGACATTTATCCGTAAATTATATCTTACACATTTGTCACTTCTACTGTATGAGCATCTGTTAAACAAATATGACGCAATCTCCTGTTGTAGCCATAAAGCAAACCAATAACACCAACTTCGTTAGAATGTTTCCTTAATCTTTCTCTGGCAGACAAGCATGAAAAATTTTAAATATATAGGTGATGGCCTATTTTTTTCGGGTGGTCACTTAGTTTACAGGGTTGATTTTCCTAAAAAAATAATGGAGAAAATATACTGTTAAATATTATTCATAAAAGATGATTCCTGAATAAATATTCTTGTTTTCCCCTCACAACATATCCAAATTCAGTTATACCATCAGCCCCGAAAAATGTCCAAGTAATCTACGTTAACCGAAGTGCGTTGGAGTTAAAATGGCAGCCTCCTGCAGTAACCGGTGACCAGACCCACGTGTTTTACGACGTCGACTGCCTTAAGCCGTGTGAGGGTGAAGAAGAAAACAAGTGCGTTAATAAAGCTTGCGGGAGTGACGTCATTTTCATACCAAGAAAGGATAGCTTCAATGTCAGTCACGTTATTGTTGGAAACCTTACTTCATATGTAAACTACACCATGAAAATCTACGCTAAGAACCGAGTGAGCGAAGTAGCGAGAAGGAAACATGGAATTGAGGCAAGTCTCTCGGAAGTAACAGTGAGGACAAACGGATCAGGTAAGTCATGATCGGCTCCTTGACTAAAGAAAGTATCACACAAATTCCCATCTATTTATCTATTGTTTCGGTGTAGAGACTTAGGGTTACATCACAGTTCATTTCATGATTCAAAGTTTATGATTCATCTCTGTGAAAAAAAACTAGTTCCAGGTAAACCAGATGTGTCTGTCGAACAGTCGGAAATGGCTGTTGTTGTATCTTGGACATTAAAGGAAAAGAACGGAATCATTAAAGAGTACCACGTGACATATATAAGAGAAGATGAGAACTCAGAAACCAAGACTCTTGCCACCAAGAAGATGGAAGCAAGGTTTGATTTAAAGGCTGGAAAAACTTATCAATTGCAGGTAGAAACATTTTATTACTTATCCGAGTTAATAATCAGTTTATAATCTCTTTTAGAAAAAAAAGGTTTGTTTAAAGCAACTAAAGAACAAAGTGTTAAATATTTAAGATTGAATGTTTTGGCACTCTTAAGGTTCATGAAGTATAAGTGATTGTAAAATGCACGATGACTGAAAAAGAACGTCTAACCCTAGCTCCATGGGAAGACGTTATTTTTGTGCTCTTGAGGAACAATCCTCTCTAATGAGTACTATGATTTCTCTTCCCTAAGGTATTTGCCATAAACCAGATCGGAAGAGGACCTGCAGGAGTGAAGAATTTTACAGTGAGAAACAGTTAGTGTGTGTACTTCGTTGCGAAGTCACTTTACTTGTAAGATTGACTCATTGGGACTCTCTTAACTATTTCAGTTTGAGCATTTTCCCTCTAGTTATTCCTATAATTTCAGCCCAAAATGATATCAGTCAATTTTGTGTCCCTTAGCTCTTGGGCTCCCATGACACCAAGAATCCGAAAAGAGGACTATCATGAACCTCAAGTTAGAAGAACTGCATTACGACCTCTTTTTAGGTTAAATATAGGGGAATTTTGAAATGATAGAGCTTGAGTAGAAAAGCAACAAAGATATCAGATTATATATTAGACCAAAGAGGAAGGTGGGTGGTTAAGTACGTTGGAGATCAACCAGTATTGTATAAAAGACAAATCTAAAGGAATTCCAGTTTTTTTCGTAAGGCATAACGCTGATGTACTTGCATCAAGCCGGAAATTTTGAACAGAAATAATGATAAGAAATTTGAAGGAAGGAGTTTTTTCGGAAAGGTACTATGAAGAAAGAAAATAAGAAATTAGTTAACTAGGAACGAGTAATGGGTGTTCAGCTAAGTTTCTCTGTTAGGAAAAGATAAATTCTTTAGGTTTTCGCAATCTTAAAAAAAGTATGGAAAAACGATCACAGATGGAATACACATGATTCAATGCCCTTTCACTTCAACGTTTGGCATTTTAAGTTATACATACACTCTTAGCGGTAAAAAACAACACAATTTCTATTGACAGTCTTGGTGCCATCAATTCACGTAAATTTTTGACATCGTCTCTTAAAGAAAGTTAAACAAATTCTAATTTTGTTGTTGCTTTTATTTACTGTTAGAAACCAAGGTTGAGACCTATCTAGGGGTCGTCTACGCATTGGCTGCCTTACTAGTACTTTGCGTCATGTGTTTCGTCTGTTATATCGTGTGGAAAAGGTAAGTTTGGAAGGTATCTAGCAAAGAAGAACATGGGAAATTTCAGCTCCGGAAGCCATTTAAGTTGAAGAATACTCTCAACAAGTTAAAAAGTCTTAGAGCTGTAAAAGAACTTACCAAAACACAAGAAATTCACCAAGTCACGAGTAAATATTAAGTTTGTGTTTTATTTAGTGGATAAAAGGTTAGTGTCAAATTTGAGAATTTCTGAAACATTCAGATGACTTATGTAGCTCAATTTTTTCTGGCTAAAAGTTTTTCAAGCTAGTCGACTAAGTTTCCTTTATCTTCGTCTTGAGGTCATAGTTATCGTTTTAGGCAACAGAAAGTGAAACATATTTTAAACGTAGTCAAAACTGAATCACCACAAAGACGCTTGAAGGGATACAAACATTTCAACTAAAATGTGTAAAACTGAAAATGATTTTTAACTGTCAGTCAATCTTCTGGCTTGGCTTCATGCTTCCCTACCTTATTATATTTCTACATTAAAGCGAAAGAAGAGTTTAATAATTTCGTATTTGCGCCAATAGATGGTGCCGAAGCCGAATTGCTGAGAAAAGGGCAGCTGAATCCAACATTAGGGTATATGATGGTAAGTCCAGTTTATATCACACTATATCATAGAACAAAAGATTACAACCAAAATGAATGCCCCGGAAATAAACAAAGTAAACCAAGCATGTAAACATACTGCATTCTCATAATATTCGATTTCACAAAACTGAAAAAGATTCAATCAGTAAGGCCCCATTTATATGGTCTCGGGTACCCGAGCCAACCCTCCCCCCGAGTTACCCTAAGCGAGCTAACTTTTCACTTATTTCTTTACAAAATTCAGCCGACCGTTTACATGAGGTTGTGAACTCGTCTCGGGAAGGCGAGACAACTCGAAGGGAAGGGGGAGGGGGGAGGGGATGCGTGCGCACGCTAAGGCAAGGATGTTTACAGCTATTCTTTCCCTGTCGTCCGCCATTTTGTCGAATATGTAACCTGGCCGAACGAGGGTTAGCAGATGTCAAATTTCATATCAACGCCCCGTAAACTTGTCTCTATCCACAGGCGCACAAACTTCCCCCTTGAGGAGATAAACATAGTACAAGAAATTAATAATAATTATAATCAGGGAAGACTCCATATAGTCGCTTTATTTGACTTGTGCAGAAGAGAGACAAAAGCAGCAAGCAGCTGCGGAGAGCCTTAGTTTGTTTTCGCTTTCTGCATGCCTGTACCATTGGAAATTTTTCCTTAGAAATTCCGATCAGTTCTCTTCATGAGTATCAAAATGTGGATGGTTTTAAACTTGACCGTCAAAAGTTAACCACAGTTCAAGTACTTGGAAGTGGCAACTTTGGTCAAGTTTGTAAGGCAATTTACGGACCTTTGAGAACTGAAGTTGCTGTTAAATCATTAAAAGGTATGTTGATCACCATTTTTTACTGGCTGGAAAATGTTTCAAATGTCTTTAATAGATCGGAATTCATCAGTTTCATTTAATCCAATCTTGCTTTCAAATATAGCTGTGTATGTACTCTTGTCCGAGTCCGTTATAGATATGATGAAGGTTCTCGTCAGCTTTCTTCTGTAAACCTGATCATTTAGTTTGTATCTTAACATTACGTTTTAGATAATGCCCTGCCGAAAGACGTGCAAGATTTTAAAACTGAGTTGGCCTTTATGAGCTCCTTGCAGCCTCATCCCCATGTGGTAAAACTAATTGGTTGCTGTATTGAAAAAGGTACATCTTGATGATTAACTGATGCACGTGAATGATTAATTGACTGATCGAGAATAACCTTGGGCTTTTGTTTGATTCCAGATCCCTCCCTAATAGTTTTGGAGTATTTAGCGTATGGTGATTTGTTGGGATACCTGCGTAAAAGCAGAGGAATTGAGGATACCTATAACACAGGAGAAAAGGGACCAAGTTCATCACTGAGAGAGAAGGACCTCTTGTCTTTTGCGTGGATGATCGCTGATGGCATGAATTATTTAGCATCAATGAAGGTAAACTTGACATTTTTCACCACTAAAAACGAGGAAATCACAAGAAACCTATTTATTCCTAGAAACTCATATGTATTGCAAAAGGGTGGATATTAAAAGTACTTTATGATAGCAGTACATTTTGCATTTTTCATTGTGCCTTTTAGCATGATGCAAAATAATCACCCTTAACGGAGTCTCTGTGTAAAAGAAGTTAGCGAAGTTTAATTAAGAGTATGTGGCCAAACTGGGAAAACTTTGATCGCACAATTTACATTTTATTTCAATACCAACTCGGCGCGGACAATGATAAATGGGGAATAATACATGGTTGTAAGACGACCTGACGTGATTTGTTTATTGTACGTTGCACGAGTTATTGTCATTTCTGAACATTAAATCTTTTATTGTATAAAGTGTGAGTTTATCAACACACGTGAAAAATACGATAATTTCAGGTGTGTTTGATATCGCCAATCAGCTGCTGACACGTCACTCGCCTCTTCATGCTACTCCGTGAATACCTTCGTCATTCTCAATAGAAGGTAGTTTGTCGAAATTTTTCGCCTCGGATCATGGCTGCTAAAACACTGAAAAACTGTCATGGCTAATGGGGGGAAGACAACCAAAATACGAAAAAAAAAACCGAAAGTTACATAATCAGTGGCTTTGCTAATGGAATTTCTCACGGCTGAAAACGAAAATCTATAACAGGAAGATTTGCCACTAAGCCGATTTTGGCCGTGTACCTGAAAAGATCAATAAAAATTCAATACTTGAGAACTTTGTAAATTGAAAGTTAGCCGCGCTCACTCGTGAGCTTTCTTGTTGAACGCTCGAATAGAAATTACATTTCTACTAGCAACCATGAATTATTCCGTTTGAATTGCCAGAATTTGATAGTTGAACGCAAGAAGGGGATGATCGCTGAATGGTAGGCCACTATGGAGGTTTATTTTTAGTAGCAAATGAATATCTGTACGAAAAAGAGAGTGGAAAAAGGGTTGAAAATGAAAATTGAGAACAAAATTAAAAGAGCTTATGTTTCTCTCAAGACGTCTCTGAACAACTCTTGCATGTTGTGTTTCAGATTGTTCATCGAGATTTAGCAGCTCGAAATGTGTTAGTGGGTGACAAAAAAGTGTGTAAGATATCAGACTTTGGTTTAGCACGTGGTTTGGAAGAAGACATCTACACGAGAAAAACTCAGGTGAGCTCTAAATAAACTTTCTAATCAAATAATTTTATAAATAGCTTTCACTATCCTCCCTCTTTATTTAGTTGATCCTCTACTGTAAGTTCTTCGAAAGATAATATTCAATTGTATATTGTTTCAGTTCTCATAGCACTGTTCTTTTCATATATTTTTGCCGTTCCCCAATTTCAAGGCTCGTCTTCCCATTAAGTGGATGCCTCCAGAATCTCTATTCTATGGAACATCAACTACTATGAGCGATGTGTAAGTTTTTGCTACCTTCTTTTTCTCTAACCCGTTAAGCCTGAAGTTTTTAGCAGTTTTGTTAACCTCTATGGTGATTTGGCAAAGTTTTAAGAGAATCGGTTGAAGAGCAGAAGTATGTTATGTTCTTTCATCTTCACCCAACATTTCAGTTTTCCTTAATTTCTTGACGACACAACCACATTGTATGAGACTGATACGTGTTGTTAATACTTTTCGGAAATAGTTTCACAGAGTTTGACGCGGTAGTATAGCCACTGCATGTCCAGGGAACCCGATGTATGAAAAATCTATAATTATCAGAACAAGCTCTTTTCTTTGGCCAATCAGCACCCATTAATTTCAAATTTTATAGTGCGTGATGAAGGGCATTATATGGAGATTGATCATAAAGTCTAAACAATAACTTACGGATTAAGATTATGTGAATATTACTATATTCTACAGATGGTCTTACGGCGTTGTGATGTGGGAGGTGTTTACCATTGGTATGTAGAGTAATGTGGAGAACTTCCCTCTGGCCACGGGACATAACGCTTTGACTATAACATGTCTTTCACATGGCAGTTAAGGCTGAGCAAAACTATTGTAGATTCACTGACTTTAAAGATCCCTGGCAGGATTTTGAGGTTTAGTGATAATGGGTCGGATGAAATTGTACAGATATTTACCTGTAAAACCAGAATGAAGCGGCAAACTTGCTAAATTTTCTGCTCCCTACCTCAACCCGACCTCTTCCCCCCTCTCCCCCCCCCCCCCCCACCCTTTTCTCGTGGAGAGGCTATTCTAATGGATTTCTAACCGGGCAAATTGGATTGCCTAAGTTTTATAAAAATTCCCTCACAATTTTCTCAAAAGAATCTTCCCTTTGAGGGATAGGATGTTGAAGCACTGTCAACTTTTTTGTTACACATATCGTTTCAGGTGAGTCACCTTATCCTGGAAAAACATCCCGAAAAACTGCTAATTTGTTGCAGACAGGGTACCGTATGCCAAGGCCAGCACACATCTCACAAGAACTGTAAGTATACCTGCGGACTGCACTATCTTACCGTGCGAATAGAAAGATAAAGCAGGAAATTTACGTTAAAAATTAAACTTTTCTTGCCGCCTACCGCCAAAGGTAAAGCATTTACATCAGCCGAAAAGTGAGTACGAGTAGAATTTCTATTTTAGAGTACTGTTTTCCATAAATTTAAACTTAATATTTGTTATTTCCACGACTTCTCAGTTTTACTTAGCTAAAATTGAATACTGAAATACCTTTGACTAACCGATTTCATGGTCTGTACTGCATTTTACGGACTACATTAAATTTTCCCTCGGATTTAAGGCTCTAATGCGGCCATAAATCCAAGCGGAAAAATCGAGGTCCATGACTTTCAACCAAGCATAGCGTACGTTCTAACTGGGAGATATAATGAGAATTCTGACTTAAAAAGTCATGCAAGATGCACTTCTTGCTATTCAGATAGTGATGTTAATTGTTTCGGATGAACGGAGTAAATTATGTGAGTAATGACGTTATTCAGTAAATGGCACAGGCATACTCGGAAAAGAGAACTCCACTGAGCTACTGACAGGAGCCTCGTGGTAGACTAGGCGGTTTACTGAACTAGGCCCATGGTGAAACATTTCTACACGATGCTAGCATTAGGAATCGACATGTGATTCCTTTGCGTGATGATGAATGAAGATGGTAAATTTTAAGCGAGGTAGTTTGGCGAAAGATGATGTTATTTAGGCATACTCGGAAACATGAACTCAGAGTGCTAATATTGGGTGTTGAAAGTAAATTGTCCTCTTCATTTTTTACCCGTTCTCTTTAAACTAGTAAACATAATATAGTATCAATGTCAAGAAAATAAGAGTTACTTCATAAAAATTAGTCATTCCTATTTCAGGTATTCGATTATGAAGGAGTGTTGGGAAGAAGAGCCCTCAAAGAGACCAACATTCCAGTGGCTTTGCTCTGCGATGAAACGACTGCTGGATGATCATAAGGTTTGTTTGCAATTATTTCCCCCGAGGTTATATTTTTGGTCTGTCATTTTACATCAAAGCCCCTGGTTATAGCATTCCTTGACTTCCCCCTCCCCCTCCTTGACAGATTTTATCCCTCCCTCCTTTCGATACTGTGTTTTATTATGCTTGAAGGGGGAGGGGAAGGGTACCATACAAAAGTCTAGGGATGATTTCTAGCTCAGAAGGATTCACTCACTAAACTTCCCCTCAGTATAATTTAACAAGATATTCTTTGACAGGTGTTGTCTTTATCTTATCTCTTCTCCAGACTTATGTGAACTTGGAAATCTACGACGGCAAGAACTATGTTAACTTTGATATGATGATGGACAAGGAGTGATGAAAGTTGTTCAATTTATTTCATTTAATATTGGAGGGTAGAGGTTCAATCAACGACATATACCTCATTTATGACCTTACCTCTTAATTATGCAAGTAGAAGTGAAATTGGAGAAACTCCTTCATATTAACGATGCAAAAGGGTTCGCTTTGGAAATATTTGTTAATAGCGTTTGTATCAGGAAGTACATTGCGTGTTATTTTACGGAGAAAACCGTTTAGCAAAAAAATTGGACTTAAAGTTAAGTTTAATATTGGAATTAGTTAGAAATTCTTAATTTTCGAAAAATATTCGAAGAAAGCTTTTACTCAAGGAATTTTTGAAAATATAAAAGTAGATTTTAGCTTGTAGCCTAATTAAGCACGTTTTAACTATGTTTATTCTCTGGCTTATATACTACAGCAGCATTAAAGTTGCAATACGGGCTTGAATCATACAGTCGGTCTCTGTATGAAAGTATTATTATTAAGGATGCCTTTAAGGACAGCGAAAGACATCTTGTATCAAATTTTCATTTTTTTGGACCGAGGTTTTGGTGAACGGTTATTTCGACAGCTAGCTTAAAAAACAAAATTTGAAATTTTTAACATTCAATAACACCTTTAAAGATCAATTGCATTCTAATTTTTAGGATATTATTTGGAATTATAGCTTATAGTGAATAAATCAATAACGTCAAACTAGCTCATCGGCTGACACGAAAGATTTCGCGACAAACATTTGATGCTAACAAAGACACATTGCCAAACTCTCGCAAACATGTCTTAACTATTGATGAAACCTGTCTGTAGTTTTTCAACTTCAATGTCATTCTGGGCTGAAATAATGGTCATAGCTAACTCTCACCAATGAAATGCACAAGTTCATCGTGATACCACGATCATGATACCATGATCCCGAGCTAAACGAACTATTCTGCCCAAAAGCATCCGTAAATGAACCCATAAAAATAAGAATAGTTAAAGGCCAGACATAACTTGAAAGTTACATTTAAAACGAGGAAACTCCTCGCTCCTGTCAGCCGAGAAAAAACTCCAGATGCACCGGAGACACTTTTTCGAGGCACACTTTTCTGGGAATTTTTGTGCGACGCATTTATGAACAACTTCCAGTGACTCAGTGATTTTCCAGTAACATCGCATTAAGGGATCGCTCAACGAACAAGAATGGTGGTTAGTACTTAATTCGTGGGTACAATAAAACCGAGAGCGATAAGTTATTAGTTACACTGTGTGATGTCTTTGATAGAAAAGATTATAATACATTTTAAAAGGTGTCGAGTCTGCTAGGCACCCGAGTCCGTAGTTACAGTTAAGGGTTGATAATGATAGAATGAGCGAAACCGAGGGTATCTAAAATGCCATTCAACAATGCTCGAAACTCTCTCAGTTACTTATTGATTCTTCTCACCAGCTTGTAAGTTAAACCGTACTATGAGAAATTATGACGTATTTTAAAGAATTAAAGGTTAAGTTATGATACCCCTCAAAATGCTGCATTATATCTTTTTATTTCACTCTCAATGAAACGGATTCTAGCGAAAAAAAGGTTTCAAATTGAAGCATTAATGGAAATTTCTCTTAATCACTTGGATCAAAGCATAGCCAACGGTTGCAAACTACGACAAGTCTACAACCGTACCAAATAATGGAGGTCACGCGGAATCAAACCCATGGAGTCGTTTGCCTTTGAGTTTGCTGTAAAGTGTCATAACTAGCACGCCATTTGAAAGCATTGCTTAAACGTTCTTTGATTTATTGGCGATATTTCGAAATTCCCCGTCTCTTATTTTGCAAAGAGTTGGTACCAGAAAAAGGTTTGTTAGAGAGTCTGAGCCTTTCTGCAAGGAATTCAAGAATTTGTGGGTATTTCACCTGTACTTTAATATGCGTTTTGTAACTTGAAATACTCCATGACAGAGTGGTTTTGTAATTGACTATTTCAATTATTTTCCTTGTTTTGATATTTTTGTACTCCACTGAAAGTTTCATCATTTTGAATTATTCCCTTCTTATCTCCATAATATACGATGGAATGATACAATCCTAGGGGACGACTTTTTTGAAATTTAGGAAAGAAGAATACAAATACAGCATAAAATTACGGTTTGAAATCTGTTAAACGAAATTCTAAGGCCGCAAAATCGTCTATAAAGTTATGAAAACGTATTTTGCAATCCATGTAGGAAAATAAGCTACATAATTATAGAAAAAAACTTTTTTTGTGGTTGATGCAAAGTTTGTTCAGTGAAATTACACTAATTTGACCATTTGAGATAACTATGGTCATAGACGTAACAAGGATAATTTATTACAATTGCAGCTACTGTGACCACTGCACGCAAGAAAAGCTTAACCTAGCATTGCGTCTCCATTTCGTTCAGCAAGTCTGCTCAGTAAATTTTTTAACATTCATCATTAGAAACCAATGAATTAGAATAAATATATTCCACATAATTCATTGGTTGTCGCTTTTCTAGTTCCTTTCTTGTTCTAATCCTCGGTGAAAAACGTGACTCCAACTCTCCCTTTATTCATCAGCGAATGTAAATAGGTGCCAGGTACTGTCAATAACTGGCGTGACGAATTGGAGGGGTAACTTGATGTGGAAAAAAATCCCATCCAGGAGGAATGATGACACTCCTCGTCATTTCATGCTTAAGACGCCGGGATGAGCAATGCCAGCTTAGGGTAATGACTTGTTAAAAGTTAGCCTTTTTTCCAACAAAGTTCCCTCAGGATCTTCTTCGGTTATTTTTATCGCTATTCAGTCTTTCATATTTCTCCATAAGTGTGCTCTGCATGTTTGAAAGTTTATCTCGTCGTTGTTTTTACAGAAGCAACGCTTCTTTCATGTTAAGCCTTAGTCGTCGTTGAGTAGAACAGGACTCAATGTTACTTATCGTCAAATGGCTTCACTCCAGGCGCACATTAAGGATGATTGATATCAAAATTTTCACAAAGCTCTTAAATCAAGTTGGGATAAAAAATATCTAGATCCGGAAAATCAAGGAAAATGGAAATTTTGTTTGACTATGAATTACAAAATCTAGCTGGTGTCGAATTTTTTCGTACCAACCTTAATAAACAAGATCTGTTAAAAACTATAAAAACTGCAGAGGCCTTTACTTCAGAAATACTCCACATCTGGTCAGAAATCTCACTTGAAACTAATGTCTCCTCCATTGATCAGCTAAAGGCGCAAAGTCTATGGCATAACTCTCTTATACGTGTCGGTAACAAACCTGTATACTATCGTTCATGGTCTGTAAAGGGAGTTAAAACAGTGGGCCATTTGATGAAAGATGCGAATAGTTTCCTATCTTTCTCTGATTTTAAAGAGCTCTACGACATTAAAACAAACTTCCTTACTTTTCAAGGCATCTTATCAGCTGTTAAGGCCTTACAAAAAAGCAATGAAGCTAACTTCAACAGCTGTAATACTGCATACGAAACTACCTTCGACACCTTCCTAAAGACGACAAAACCAAAAAGACTGACATATAAAATTCTGACGAGCAACAGAATGCATGCTCGAAACACCAGATAATGTCGACTGGAAGGCAGTTTACAGAACTCCTTTTCTATGCACAAAAATCACAAAATTGATTGTTTTTCAATTTAAGCTACTGCACAGAAGACTAGCCACCAACACTTTTCTTACCAAGGTAAACCTCAGGGACAATTAGCAGTGCACTTTTTGTAAAAGTGATAAAGAGACTCTCATCCACCTATTTTGGACTTGTGATATATCCAACCGTTTCTGGCAAGGTCTTAAACAATGGATAATTAACCTTGGAGAACCTTTCGCGGAAATTTTCAATCTATCGCCTATTTATAGTACTAGGGCTTAAGCCACACAAAAACAAGAAACTAAACTTCCTTTTTTTGGTCGCTAGATATTTTGTATGGAACATCTCTCCGGAAATAAAAACTTCCCCCTCTTCTTCTCACATTATAATGCATAATTCATTATTATAAAGAAAAACCATGCTTAAAACAAGCACAACACGCATTTACTTAGTGTTTTCTTTAATTCTGTTTACATATAATTTGATGTTTGTATCCTTTTTTTCCTGCACTTTTTTGCTTTCTTTTAAACTACCTTCTTTTCTATAAATTGTGAGTAGTGCACTCTGGCTGTAAACGTTTTTTTGTTTTTTTCTTTTCTTTTCTTTTAATATATAGTTATTTGTTGAGTCGCTCTTCAACCAGTATTGTTTTAAATACTGTATTGCACTGTAACGTACGTATTTGTAAAAAACAAAAAACGTAAGTAATGTAGCTATAGATGTAACTGTACTGTAAGTTATTTTCTGTAGCCGTGATACAAGTAATATAACTGTAATTAAAGTAATATAGTTGTTTTTGTATTAAAAAATAAATAAGAAATAAATAAAAATATTGTGACAGTCAGATTTAAAAAAAAAAAATCTTTACCCCGGTTTTCCATTTTTTTCAAAAAATTCTCGAAAAACAGGGTAAAATCTAAGAATTCATCCTCCAAATTGAATAGATCCCAAGTTGCCATATCCAATCTTCAACCCGATTCTCCATTTTTTTTCAATGAATTCTAGAGAAACGGGATTAATTCTGCGAATTCATCGGTAAGTGGCTAACACGTTAAGTTCCCATATGTCATCTTTACCCCGATTTACCATTTGATCAGTGAATTCGAGAAAAACGTGGTAAATTCTGAGCATTCATGTTACAAGTGAATAATACCCGAAGTTCCCATATGCTATCTTTACTCCGAATTTCCATTTTTTTTTCGGTGAATTTGGCAAAAAACGGGGTAAAATCTGAGAATTCATCCTCCAAATAAAAAGGATCCCAAGTTACCATATCCAATCTTTAACCCGATTTTCCATTTTTTTCAACGAATTCTAGAAAAACGGGATAAATTCTACGAATTCATCCGCAAATGGCCAACACGCTAAGTTCCCATATGCCATCTTTACTCAGATTTTCCATTTGATCAGCGAATTCTAGAAAAACGGGGTAAATTCTGTGAAATTCATTCTTTAGGTGGAATATATCCTACTGACTTGCCATAGCCAACTTTACCCCGATTTTCGATTGGATCATTGTGTGAATTTGTCATAAACGGGGTAAATTATGACAAATCCACCCAAACGTGCAATAAATCCAACAATGATCTAGAAACAGTACTAAAAAAAGAAGAGCTAAAATCAGCGGGACCGCAATAAAATCACATCACAATCTACTACTTCAAATTTTTACGGAGGGCTTAGTGCGATACAGCAAAAACCTACAATATTTCAAATAAACATCCAAAGGCCAAACTTCTGTGTTTCAAATAAGACTTCGTGACCCGACGCAGACAAATTATCACAACTTTGACCTCTCAGTCGATCTCACCTCCAGCAGATCAGCGAAGCGTCAAAAATATATAATTTCATGCCGACGAACCATAATCTATGATCTTCAACTATTAAACAAAATAAAACAATTGTGATATGACGCCACATTGTGCTTTTGTCTTAGCTTGTGTGTAAAATGTTGTCAATGGAGTCGCAAGTCGAACAATGAGGACAGTAAATAAAGCAAGACTGCAAATAAAGCGTGAACAATAACGCATCTTTTGGTCGAAAGTCGCTTTGTTATTTACGTAGCAAGTTATTATTCCACGTTTAGGCTATAACAACGATGCGATCACACGGCGCTAACGAAGGAACGATAGAACTTCAAAGAAAATAATGTGAAAGGCCAATGATCCGGTTCGCAGTGATCATGCGAACAGCATGTTTTCCTGAGATCGGTTACCGGAAAATACTGGTCAAATTTTCCACTTATCCCGACCCCCTCGAATAAGAACTTTTGCTTGAAGACATAACTACAACGGAGTCTCTTAACCAGTCCCAAGCCGCGTGTCGCTCGATAGATCACAGGATATGATTGGCCACTCTATCACATTACGTCAGAGGACATATCTGCAATGAGAGGACATAAGTGCAACGGTACATTTGTTTTGGTTTTGATCTCACCCAATCACAAAGCTCGAAACCGATATCCAGAAATGGTTATGGCCCGAACTGTTCCTGTTGTAAATAATTTTTCCACTAGTAAGGAAGTAATCAACTTGTAAATCGTAAGTTTCTACTCTACTTGAACTACCGTTAAGTACAATTCGTAACAGAGAGGTAATCACGTCATGACGAACCAGAGCTGCCCAGGTTCTTTGATCTTTTAGCCTTCTTTTCATTTCATTAGGTTTAAGGTAAAAGGCGGTCTCTATGATACACGACCGTGCCTGCGTGCATGCAGTGTCACTATTCGAAACTTCGATCACCTCTCAAGTCGAACCAACTTCCTCTCTACACTGAAGAAGCGCTAGCACCAGTTCCGGTCTTCTTTCCAGCTTAATGAATTCAAATATTTTATAATTGTATCACAGCGTAATACGAGAGAAGGTGTTCAAAACTGAAAGAAGAACAAGCAGAGGCAGAAGCAGCAGGTAATTAATATAACGACCCTAAAACTGTCGCCGTCGCTGTTTAAAAACTTATTAGACTTTAAAATCACTAAATGCTAATAAGCGTTATATGGCGTGTCTGGCGTTCCATTTGTTCTCGAGTTGTGTAACTTTCACTTTGTCTTTAATTGTCATTTCCGCTGAAAAAATTCGACCACTTTGCGACTGAAATCATCATAAACATTGGCTCCTTCGATATCTCCCCCAGCTAATTCTCTGGAAACCTCGATAAATCCCAATTAAGCAATAGAGAATATGTAATATACATTTATATCGAGGATGTACAATCTTTCGTTTCAGTTTCCGAGTAATTTGGACATTCTCCAGTTACTAGCTGTTAGCTTAATCTTAATGTTGGAAGAGTGTTCTGTAAACGTTTTAACCATTTAAGGGTTTAGCCTCGATTGAGAAATCCAGATATGGTTACGGATGTAACTGAATTAAATATTCAATATTCGAGAGTCCAATTCAATGAGGCAAAATATGAATTTTCATTTTTCAGGCATGAAAATTCGACCGACCACAGAGAACAATTGATCTGCGCCTATTGAAATGAAATAATTAGCCTTGCTCATCTTCTAGGTGGCTCAATGTGTAGGATAGGGCCAATGGATCATCACTTAATTACAATCGCTAATCTCCTGCAAATTCTGGCCTTTTCAGTGGCGGATAAAGGTATAAAATCTAATCTCGAAGTACTCTCTAATAATGATTTTTATACAATAACATTTTACATCGGTTTTCAAGTCAACGACGACGTACTTGAACTCAGTGAAAGCAACGAAATACGGAAAATTAATCATGGGAACTATTTTTGTGTCCAGTTTACGAAATACTCGACAATTTACTATTGCATAAACGCCGTGTGAAATAAGTCAAGAAGCAAAGATGTAAAATAATAGTTAAATATTCTGGATAAAACTTATCAAATATGTTTGTTAAATCTAAAAGATATTTGGTGAAGGATTTCCGTTTTGCTCAAACATGTGTGACGCAAAAAAGTTATGTTCCATTGCTAAAGCTGAAGAGGCGAAATTTATGTAGCAAAACAGGTGACGTCATTCCGAAACAGTGTTCTTCGTAAACGGAAGGAACAAAGTGGCGTCCAGTGAAGCAACAATTTGGCTTCCGGATACAGAAAAGTTTTCCCTGGAATCAAGTTCGATAACTACAAGACTACAATCTTAGTTTTGATTGATTGGTAACAGGAATGTCGGTAGTCTTACTCGTAATTAACAAATCGAACTCACGCTCCACGGTCGTCCTATTTTGTAAATTACCCGTACTATTACAGACCGAATTTGACTCTACTTACTCCTATTTCCATAATTTTCGTTAGCATGCTCTTAGCAGATAAACGTGTTTATCTTATAGTGATTTTACAAAGGTGGCCGACAACATTGAAAAGGTGGGACTACTGGACAACTTCAAGGCCGATAGGTGGACCTGTTGGGGTATGCTCTTTTTGAAAAGTATAATAAAGTAAAAAAAAATTTAAAAAATACCACGCTTAAGACCATTTCCGAAGACTGGAATCTATCCCAGTCCTACCAATCAATAAAATTAAATTCAATATCATTTATATATTTTATTGACTAGACATTATGATTCCTAGACTACGAATATTCCAGAATTGAAACTCATAAATAGAAGATAATGACAATCTTTCTCCAATTCTGCAAACAGATGACCTTAAGAATAAAAAATTGATACGGTAGTCTGCAGATTTAGTTTTCATTATTGATAGCAGTATACAATGTCAAGAATACCTGTATGAACCAGTTAACAAAACATTTTGAAATATAACTGAAATTAAGCGCTAAAACTGTGGCCATCCAAAACAGATTCCGAGACCACCTCCGCGATGTACAAAGAAATGACAAGGACGCATCCAAACCAGTCACTAGACACATTAATTCCACTCTCCCACCATAGTTATCGATATCGAATATTTGAGTGATTTGACGGTCAAACTTGTATAGCTTTGACAACAGACAGTTTAAGACTTGTACTTTTAATAGTTGATGTTAAAAGTTTTTGCTGATGACGGTAGTTCATGTAGACGACAAACCGGTGTTGCAAAAAAGGATCAAATTGAAATGACCTCGTTTCTAGGCAACATAGATCACCAAATGTTTTTATTTCTGAACAGTGGCAAAAAACACCAAACGTAAATGGAATCCCAATGTACACGAGCTGCGTTGTCAGCGGTCAACAACCAAACGTCTGGCTTAGAAGTAATCCTGTCACAATCCCAAGTGCAGTGATACAGGTTTACATTGCTATTCAATACCGCTCGAAGAACTGTACAATGTTGGATGGAGATGATTTCTGTAGAGAATATTTTGACCTTTACGTGCATCAGTCCTGGAATAAAGAGGTACCCGAACCTCCAGGAAACAATTCCACCTATTCAAAGATTGCTAAGATAACTGCGCCGATCCCAGGTGTCTACGCAAGAGTAACAAAAATATTTGGTGTTTCAGTGAAAGGAAGGTACATCACGCTGGCTTTTCATAATCAGGGCTCTTGCAGCGTCATTTATTCTGTTGTTGTCAGTTATTTCTTTTGTCCAGAATTTACATCTGGTACTGGCTTGGTGTCCTTACCACGTTCCATGGCTCCAGCAAACAATTCAGAACCAGTAGAAGGTCGATGTGTCGTAAATGCTGTCCATTATCAAGGTGCTGTAATGTTAGACTGCCAAAGCGATGGCTTTTGGAACATCAGCTCACTTCAGGGAGGTTGTGTATGCAAGGAGAAGATGGAAAATGCAGGAGGAGAATGTAGAGGTATATCATGACCAAATTAAAATTCATTAGCAAAAGAAAAACAACGACAAGGCTTAAGTCACACATTCATAAATTAAGGCAAGCCTTAAGGCGAAACCCCGACCATTTCTTTTTCCACAAGTGCGATCATAGACATAAAGCACAATTGGATAAGGCCCGTACTTGGTATCCGAGTCTCTTGGGAAGATATCCACCGCGGAAAATGTTATTTTAGTGGTTTGATAAAAATCGTTTTGCAAGCAATTCTGATTTTGTCGAATAATCTCCACGTTCGTAATTTCCTTTTGTTCTAGATTGCCCAGAGAGAAAATACAACGATCAGAATGGTTTGAATTGCACAGGTGAGGAATTGGTCATGTCCATGCTCAGGCCAAGTATCAAATCTGCTTTTCAGTTTCCTTTTATTTGCAACACAAACGACGGAAGGACTCTCGCTTTTCCGTGAGCATTCATATATCACTGCAAAATGCAAATCATTTTTATCAGAACCGTATGCATTACGTTCTAAGGGATATCAGTTGATGGGTGAATGCATGGGTGAACGGTAGTTCGGTTCTGTAAAATACACTTTAATTTTCAATACCTATAGTGATACCATCAACTCCGAGGGATGTCAAGGTTGCATTCGTAAACCAAAGTGGAGTTGAGATAACATGGCAGTCTCCATTAGAAACTGGTGATCAGACACACGTGATTTATGACGTCAACTGCCTCATACGAAAGATATGTAGTATTGATGACGTCGATCGCGACAACTGTCTTTACGAGAATTGTTCACGTGACGTAAGATACATTCCTAATAATAAAGGTTTGAAAATGAACCACGTGATAGTGATGGGGCTATCTTCATTTGTGAATTACACTTTTAAAATCCTCGCCAAGAATAGAGTAAGTGAAGTGGCCAAAAGAATTTATGGAGATGAAGGAAATTTTGCAACACTGAACATAATGATTGAAGGATTAGGTAAGTTGTAAAACTTTCACTTTGGACATGGTAATGAATTTAGCTTACACATTCCCTATACTCGTTTTTTTTGCGACCCGAGGGGAAATGAACTCGAAGTATTCATGAATTCCCGAAGCTAGACGGGAATTACGATGGGCGACTCTTTCACAATGTATTGCTCACAAGGCATGCCCCTCTTAATACTCTATTCTTCAGATCATTCAAATATCTCTGTTCCATTCAGCGAACAAAAGATAAACAGGATAAATTAGTTTTCTGAGAAGAAAAAGTGTAAAGGACACCGGTAGAAATAAAATTGTGACGGTAGTGATATAAAAGTTGAAATAATAACAAGGGAATTGAAAAGTTAAGTCCCACCAAAGCAACCACTCATAGGTAATGCTCACCAAAGAACTTTTTTTCGTGTCTTACGCAGAGGTATCTTCAAGCACTGCAGCCCCACGAACTAAAGGTAAGTGAAGTAATTCCAGTCTAATCTGAAATTTTTTTATCTTATTAACCAGTTTCTTTGAATTCAACAGACACCTGTTTGTTAGCATTCCCTGTAATCCTTGTAGTGCGAGTTGTGCATATGATTGGTGCATTCTCAGTTGACAAAGGACTATCTGAATTGAAGTGTCCACGATTTCTTCCGATTGTTGTAAACGTTAGAGCTTAGAGCTTAGAGCTCAGCTCTAACGCCCATCATTCCTCTTAGTGAAAATATATCTCCAAAAACCAAATAACTGGCAACGTCACTTACTTTTCCTCTCCCGAGCCGTACCTCCTGTCCATTTGAAAGTAGCTAACAATGAAACTATCGGAAGGAACGATTATATAATTGACATTCATGGATAAACTTGGATTATATTCTTAAACGCGGTCTAAACCTTGCTTGAATGATCGGCCTCTAATTCAATCTACTTGCGACATGGAAACAGAAGACTGAATCATAATCACTAACTTATTATTTTAAAAGACATTTTGGTAACTATGCTCTCACAGCAACTAACAACCTTCTTCCATCTTTTTGTAGTCTCATTTAAGACAGTTTCCGCAAAACTGGAAAAAGGTAGATTATTTACTTGAGCAAGAATAACTTTAAAACAACCAAATTTTTTTCAATTAGCGCTCTCAGAACCTTGAAACTTCCCCTGCGGTATCATCTATTTTCTGTCATATAGAGACCGGTCGCTGATCCCTAAAGTTTATCCGATAAGTAGTTTACAACTAGTTGTATTTGACTTTTAAGACACATTTCTCCTCTTTTGCACAAAATCCAAAAAGAGAAATCCCTCACCTGAAGTAAAATAGTTCCTTTAAATGCTAAACTATAAATTAACTGTAACTGTAACTAATCAAACTGTGCATCTTATTTCACTTAGTAGACACCATGAATGTAATTTATCTGAACGTCATCTATGGATTTGTGGGGCTGATAGTTCTGATCATTTTATTTTTCTGCTACACCACTTTTGGAAGGTAAGGGTAGAAGTGATACAAACGCTGACAAGCTTTGAAAAGTTAGAAACGTGGGTGAAAAGGCTTTTCAACCCTGCGGCGAGAAATAAGGCAGATCATGTGAGAACTCCGACAAACGCGGAAGAGCAATGAACATTGCCTTTAGTAAAGTGGCGTGTTCATGCTGAAAAATACAAATTTCCAAGGAGTTTTAGTGAGAAAGAGGAAGAAAATACGTTTTTGTATTTTGTTAATCCTTATCTCTTCCCAGGTGGCGCCTCCGAAGACAAGAAAATGATGTGCAAATGACAGCCCATTCAGAGGGCAGAGAGTACGACGGTAAATGTTACACGTATCAAGTGACACGCATCTTATCTTGCCTAGAAATATTTTCATAACGATAATCATCAGGATGAAAAACACCAGTGATGATGAAAATGATAACCATCATAATAATAGTTATGATAACAATGATGGCACTGATGATGAAGCTAATTATAATGATGATGTTGATGATAACTTAAAAGCCGATCGCAGTTACAGTTACATCCGTAAAAATACATTTTTCTTAAAAATGGATTTACTTAGCAGGAACGATTTCATGGAAAAGGTGAGTGTTTCAGAGCTTCGGCTTATAGCTCCACCTTCTATGGGGTGCCCTATTATTGGTTCGGGGTGAAGGAGGCATTTGGGTCGATTAAATGGGCGATCCAAACTTCATAAATATTGAATGGTTTCACTCTGAAGAAAGTGAATTTATGTATTTTGGTCCTTAACTTTTTCCAAGCGGTACCAATGCTTCCTCTGGTTGTGGCTAAAGATCAAACCACAAATGAAATTTTGGATGGTTTTGAGCTCGACCGCGCACAACTAAAGCTCGTAAAATTGCTTGGAACCGGAAACTTTGGCCGAGTATCCAAGGCTATTTACGGGCCTTCCCAGATACAAGTGGCCGTAAAATCCCTGAGAGGTAGCGTTTCATAATCCTTTCCATATTTTTGTCATTGTAATCGAGTATAGGTGAAAGTAATACAGGGTAAAAGACATATAGAGATCACAGTTGTAAGATGATAATAGGCTTCTCTAATAGTGTCAAAAGTGGAATAACACCCATTTCCAGCTGAAAAACTTGACAGCGAGAAGACTGAATCGGAAATCTGCGGATTGGTTACTCTCGGTTGTCTCCTACGAGTGGCCTTCCCTGATATCAGTCATTCAAGGAACACTTACAATTCTTGATACATTTTACGCAACACATTGAACTCGTTACTTATTCTTAAAAAAAGATTCTTACCTTGCTTCCCGTTCAGAGCGTTTACAAAAAAACTTCAATCTGGTATATTGGTATTGTGGTGGATTAGCAAAACGGCTGTCTAGTTGATTGTACAGCAATCAATAAGATTTAATTGATTTACATTATTAATATGTTAATCCAGCAATTGTCATTTTGTATCCATCAAATTCTTTAAGCATTATCTGCCTTAAGAGTCAGCAATTTATAATGAAACGAACACGACTTGTTTGTAGGTTGCTTCACGCGCGCAAACACACCCGATATATAAGCAGTTGTTTAGCATGTTTTCGTTTTTAATGTGTCATAGACAATGCCGAAAAAGAGGACCTAGAAAGCATCATTATGGAGTTGGAAGTTATGAAATCTCTGAGGAATCATCCTCACGTCGTTGGTCTCATTGGTCATTGTATAGAGAAAGGTGCTTTGTTCATGTTTTCTTATCATATTTCGTTTTGTTGTTCGTTTCTTTTTTTGGTGTGTTGATCTTTCTCAAAGTTATTTTAGTCATAGAATTTCTTTCTGTCCCCCTTTCTTCTCCCTTTCCATCTTCGTTCTTCTCCGTCTTTTAACTTTGACTTCTCTTTCTTGTACTTGTTTTTGTCGACTCTATACTTTGCATTCCGATGCAATTTTTTTAGTCGATAATCTTTCAAAGGTCGATGCCTCGTAATCTCCTTCTTTCGCCATCATGATTGATTGATCATCGTGCAATTTGAAAGAAGATTAGGACTATCAAACTTTGGAAGAATTTCAATGTAGTCAGCATTTCATCTTCAGTATTGTTACAAGTTTGTCGTCCTTAAACCAGTTTGCCCTCATAGCTTGGGAATCCTCTAATAACTACCAAACTACCACCACCACCGGCATCACCGTGGCTGCCGCCGCCACTACCACTACCACTTCCATTTTTCTCATCCCTCTCAACTTAAAGCGATCAGTTTACTTTCATAAATACAGATCCCGTGTTTATCGTTTTGGAGTATTTACCATACGGGGATTTGTTGGGATACCTGCGTAAGAGCAGAGGAATTGAAGACAATTATAACACAGGAGAAAAGGAACCAAGTTCAGCTCTTTCAGAAAAGGACCTCCTGTCTTTCGCGTGGATGATTGCTGATGGTATGGATTATTTGGCATCAATGAAGGTGAGAAATCTGGTGTCAAAGTCAATAACGTACTTATTTAGCCGTTGTAGACCACAAAACAGTCTCATGTTTCATTAGTGTGAGCTTAAATGTTTGGTTGCATATTCTCCATACTGTTCTCTTTACATTTCCTATTACATTAGAAAGAGGAATATGTTTCGTGATCAAGAAATTATTCATAAACTGGCAATAGTTTCCTTTCTTCTCATGACCTTAAAGTTTGATTCAGTGATGACAGTTACTAGTAGTGGATAAAGGGGTTACATCCCCAGAAAATGACATTATTTACTAGTTTTTCAAACTTAATATGGATGGAAACAGGGAATGGAAATCTAGTTACATCTTTTTTTATTCCAAATGTAGTTTTCAATCAATTACCCCCATTTCCTCTATTCATAAACATTCACCTACCATTTTTCTCAAACTAAACGAGGTTATACCTGCCAGATATATCATACATTATACTGGGATTCTTTTCTTTTTTTTCTTTGGAAATTTTTATTGCGTACTTCGTAGTAGAGATCTAGGGAATGGAACGCCACATGGAATGGCTCAGACAATAGCTCATTCTTAAAACGAAATGCGAATCTTTCTACAGCTAGGCTCATTCAATATCATGACTTTTTCATTCGTCATGTACGATATATCTTCCCCTTTCTCTTTTATGTCGGCAGTACAAACTGTATAGCTCAACTAATAGAAAACAGCTGCAATTTCTATAGCCACTAAAAACCCTTTCTTTTTGTTGGAGGTTAAAAAACAAAAGGCAACTTTTTTTTGCTTTTTGAAGGTCGTCCATCGGGATTTAGCAGCTCGAAATGTGTTAGTTGGAGAAAACAGAGTGTGCAAAATTTCAGACTTCGGACTGGCACGTAGTTTGCAGGAAGATATCTACACGAGAAGGACTCAGGTTACTAAAATTACAAGTACTAAGATGCACGATGAAGGATACTGTGATTCTCCATGAAATGTTACCTTTGAAATTGACGTCTGTAAATACAAAAAGTACTGACGAACGAAAGTACCAACGTCTACCTGAATGGCTCTAACAATTTGCTGATGAGTTGATTTCAATTTTCAGGCCCGACTTCCAATCAAATGGATGGCCCCGGAATCCATTTTCAATGCTGAGTCGACAACAAAGAGTGATGTGTAGGTTGATGCATTTATATGATGTATAAGTATAGTGTCAAGTTCAAAACGAAGTGTATAGAACACACATTCTTGATTCATGATTTTACTTCTTTAGCGGGCATCTTGTTGTTTGAGCTTTCTTTGAGGACTGTTTAGGCTTTAAGTCTGATTATAATTTCTTTATCTAGAATCAGCAATGATTGATGTCTTCTCCCTTAAACTGTCATTTAATTAAAAATTGTGTTTTGATTTCCTTTATACAGATGGTCATACGGCATTGTAATGTGGGAACTGTTTACCCTCGGTATGTTAATTTAATCAGAAAGAGATCGTTCTTTCACAGAAGAAAACGTCGCACATTGTAGAAAAAAGATAAAAAGCGTTGAAAAATAAAGAAACATACAAAAAAATAAAATATAACAAATCAATAATGTCTAGAAGGCAAAAAAAAATATTTTTGAAAGAATTGAAGCGAGTGCAAAAACGGGAAATAAGGCTGGAGCAAGAGGCTATGGAATCAATGTTGCACCCGTTTGGCCTCCTGTGCCTTGCGAACACTGATATAGACTGCTTTGTAGCACTCTGTCTTCCTTTATGTTTAATACTGACGGTAATATTAAATAGATACTGCAAACAGATGGTGATAACCGATGTTCTATCCAACAGGGGGATCGCCATATCCTGGTGTTAGTGTCAAAGAACTCATTTCATTGTTGGAGGGTGCATACCGCATGCCAAAACCGAACCACGTCTCAGAGAAACTGTGAGTGAAATGTTTCGTTATAGTCGGAGCTATTCCGCAGTTCAATATTTTAAGTCTTAAAATGTTAAAATCCCACTCCACCACGAGTGTTTAATCTCGAGAAAGATCTGGGGATGAATACAAAGCGAATTTCCTTTCAGCCCAGAGACGCTAAGCCTCAAGCAACAGATTTTTAACGTGAACATACCACTTTGATTCACTTTTTGAATCATGATGCCCGCTGTCCACAATAGTGGTGGTAGTTCTAAGCTAGGGTGGCAAGTTTCCTCGGCCACTGAGCTGAATACTGTCGTGTAAGGCTCACTTCGCATTCATCATACTCTTATACATTTAGGTATGCCATAATGATGGAGTGTTGGAACGAACAGCCCCAAAATAGACCAACATTCAAGTGGATTCGTTATGCAGTCAAAAGACTTCAGGATGACCAGCAGGTTAGTTTGTTGCGGATTTTCGATTTTTTAAAAATAGAGGAGAGCCTCGTTACACCGTGAACTTCTATGGTCCAAAAACGATTTGTCCTTCTATTTTATAGCCTTAAGAGAAGATTCAGATAAATTTTCCTGAAAGAGGAAAATATGATTCTTGGAAAGAGATAGAAAGGAGATACTTCTCCATTGTTCCTTCGTACATGTATTATGACTGTCTGTCTTCTGATTGTCTATTGGGAGGAATAGATCAATTCAACCTTGTTTTTATACACAACTTATTTGGTCTCAGGCGGATAACCATCGGCGACGAAACTATTAACACTACCGTTAATAGGTGTTATGTTTTTTATCCCTTATATCCTTACATTCACCTCCATCTCCCACTCCAGTTAAACTTCATTTCTAAATACTTCCTTAAGACTGGCTTCTTGGAGGTCAACTAATATGAGGCCTGTAATACCTGTACTTTATCGCTCAAAGTGATCCTAACACTTCATGAGAATGTTCTTCCCGAACACTGATCTTATCGACATCAATATCATTAATTTCTTTATTGAAGTATTTGGCGTAGTAAGTATTGGTTTCATTTTATTTGCAGGTCTACGTGAACTTAGAAGGCTATGACGACCAGGAATACTTAATTATAATCTAACAGAGAAAAAGGAAGTGCTTAAAATTTCAATGTGTAAGGCTTATGTTCAAACCACTTACTGGAAAAAATGTAAGGGGAACAATGACAAGGGTTTTAATATAGAATTTAACAAAAGTTAAAAATTATACCCAGGAAGAAAGATGAGAACAAAAAGAGCAAAGGAGTGATAATTTAATCTCAATAACAGAAATTTTCATCCAAAAACGTTTTGAAAGCTAATCTTTTGGGAAATTGTTGTTTAACTGGGTCGGGTTATAAAAAACTATACTTTTTTAATATAGTTGATACATAGCTCGTTCGTTTGAATTCCACCTTAGACCGTACCTCAGTAAACAATTTTAAACCTTTGTTCATCGCTGTAAAAGGTTGTGCTGGTATTATTTTGATAAATCTTGACTGTAACTAACGAGAACAGTTCAACCTGGCATTGCATCGATCGTTCAGTTGATCAGCTTTTTTTAAAACACAATTCCCAATAGCTAATAAATTGGAATAAAGCACACAGTCTCCTGATTATTGCGTTTTCAGATCCTACTCCGCTACAAATGTGTTATTCTGACTACACTCACAAGGGGCATTACGTGTGAAAAGGTTAATTAGGATGAGCCAGTCAGTCTTCTAGCATACGCATCCTTATACAATCTTAACATGTGCACTCTGAAACTAGGGGTTCCACAAAAACGACTTGTAACCTCATCTAAAGCAGCAGCAAAATACCCTGAGGAAAGGGTAAACAAACCTGGTTGCTCTGCTAATCACAAAGATATTTTAAAGGGAGCTGGAATACCAAAATTACAGCAAATACAAAAAAGGATGATCTCTCAGATGCTTCTTTCGTTTTTTGGCATTACTGCTCAGTACTTAACTTTTCCTAGTAATCGTGCACGGAATACGTTTGTTGTTGCATTTCGAAAAGTGCATTGTGGTTGTATTTACGAAAGCCACATTTCTTTAATGGTAATCCACTGGCTTTCGCAGTTGGATTGAAGATGACTCATCGTTACTTTGTGCCGGATCATAGATTTCAATTTGCACGTAACGGATGAGTATAAGCAACATTTATCGTTGAAAAGGGTTCAAACTTTCCATGTACAATCAGCATCTTGGGTGACTTCTGACTTCATTAGTCTTGACTTGATGTCTCCCGTCTACTTTACTTATCTGCTAGCAAACCTACTCTGCTTACATACACGGTGCTGATTTTGCTCATGCATCTAAAATGTTTGTATAAGATATTACTTATACTTCTAAAAATACTTATGCATAAAGTAATTTGTACAAAGAGGGAATTGTGAATAAAGTCTTTCACTAAAATTTTTTTCTTTCTATCAAGTTATTTTCGAATGTTCAACTGCGCCCCGAATTAGCTTTACGTATGAGTTGATGTACCAAAAGGGACATAAAGTTATCATTATCATCATTACTTACACGACCTGAGTATGAGCTCAACATTTCTGTTCGAAATAGTGGATGAAGTCGAAGCTCGAATAAATAATCACCCATGCGCAGTAGTCTAGTCGACTATACCTATCAATTTTGTCTACTTTTGCGCTCAAACCTTTAAAAACTACTGTAGTTATTGTATTGTTAAGAATGACTTGTATCACTAATGGTATACTTTGACTGACGTAATAATGGCCATCTCTACTGTATAAGATACTTTATTGAGAAAAAGTTTAGCTGACGAGTTCACATCACCTCATCCGTGTTTATTTAGGGTGTGGGGAAATTTCAAGATCTAATTATCTTATTTACCTTTTCAGATTGTGCAAAAGATAAATACAACGACCAGAATGGCCTTAACTACATAGGTGCAGAGAAAGACATGTTGAGATCCTAAATTTCGTAAATTTTTCCGTTGCAGAGTGTAATGCATGGAACAGATTTCGCGTTTGAGAGGTATCTGTCGAGTTGAATTTCATCGGTTAATTCTAAGTATGTGGCTCTCTTCAACTTTAGGCTGTAAGTGCAACATTAAACTTATGAATATTTCGAAATTCCTTTTTACCTGAGATAGAGTTTTTTACATCTCCGAGATATTTGCCTCTAACATACTCATTTTGTAATACTATCACTTCTGTTGTATCATCAACTTTTAAACAACGCAACTCCGTATCGTAACCTTAATTACATATTACATATACCCTTTAAAATTGCTCACACAGACTAAAATGACAAACTCTTAATATAAATGTTAGGGAATAATACATTATGGCCCATTTTATTGCGAGTTCCCTCAGGAAACTGAGGCACAAAATTAACAGCTTTTTCCTGAAAAAAAGATTTTAAAACATCTAATAAGAATGTGTGTGTTCAGTCATACCATCAGCCTCAGGTATTCTCCTAGTTATCTTCGTTAACCAAAGCGCATTGGAGTTAAAATGGCAGCTTCCTGCAATAACTGGCAATCACACCCACGTGTTTTATGACGTCGACTGCCGTAAGCCGTGTGAAGGTGAATACGACGACAAATGCGTGGATAAATCATGCGGGAGTGACGTCATTTTCATGCTAAGAAAGGACTGCTTGAGTTTCACTCACGTTACTGTTGAAAATCTATCTTCTTTGATAAGCTACACCGTGAAAATCTACGCCAGGAATCGAGTAAGAGATTTGGCGGAAAGGAAACATGGAATTGAGGGAAACCACGCGGAGATAACTGTAAGGACTAGCAAACCTTGGGCCTGTTTCTCGAAAGTCCCGGTAACTTAAAAGACCTGAAAAAGTGATTTTTGTTTGACGTGTTTAACGATAAAAATATCAGTAAAAGGAAAGGAAGGAACTTGTTTTGGCGCTAAAACATGGGCAAATCTTTTCCCTTGAATTCGATTTTCAAATATCATTTCAGGTAATTACTTTTTGTATTTTAATATTTTAATACTACTTTTTTGATTTTAAAATATTACTTCAAAACTCTTCGTGTTTTGATTAACGCGATAACCAAAAGGAGACAACGTATCACTTTCATTGTTGCGGCACAATTACTTTTGAGATGCATAAGATATCGCCCTCCCTTCAAGGCTCACTGAGTACAAAAATAAACTCGAAAAGTGACAAAATAAATCCCATTTTTCAGTGATTTCCACTCACATACTAAAGATTGCATTGGAGTTAGCCTACCAGTAGCCCATCATCAGAAACGCTCAATTCAGTTTTCTCTTCAGGTATTTGGTAGGGGTTCGGCTGGTGTGGAGACGTTTAAACAGCGAGGTTTATTTATACGTCGTTGATACGTACGCGTCTACCCTTAAGACTGACATAATGGAACTCTCATTTGAAGTGTTCCAGTTTAACAAGTTAGGTCCCATGACTGTTGTTACTTCAGCATAGAAACGAAATCAGCTAGGGCATTATCAGATTAAGTATCCTTTACAAGACTACAGTGATACCAACGAAACCTGTTCTAAGGAAACACTACTATATGTAGGTTTTGTCGCAAGCCTTTCCTTAAAATGAGGGTGTCTGCATAGTCAAAAGTTAATGTAGACCTTGGAATAAACTAATAGGAACATTGATGGGTTAGGATGCTGAGGATTAACAAGTATTTCAAAAGGCAAAATTTTTCGTAGATCCTAGTCCAGGTTAATCAGCTTCATTGTCTTAAATGTAACACTCCTTCCTCAGAGTTTTATTCCACAGATTCCAAGGCGACAATGTATCTCAAAATTATCTATGGACTGGTTGGTTTGTTCGCACTTTGGATAGTGTCTTTCGCTAGTTACATCACATACAAAAGGTCAGTGTGGGAACTTTAATGAAACTCAAAACTAGGTGGAGCTACAAAAATTAATGATTACCATCAGCTCAAGTGTCAAAAGCTCAGCAAGCATAGGGCACTGAGTTAGCATTGACTGAGATAATATTAACGAGTCTATTTTGTGACTTAAAATGTTCTTAATGCGTCGTTTCTCTCAGCTGTACCCAAATCATAACTTCTATGGTGGCATTAACGACATTTAAGATTTTGGCTATTTTTGTCAGATGGAACCACCGAGGAAATGTTCACCGTGAATTCACCAACGTTGTGGTGAATACGGGTAAGTTGCAATATCATGTCATTCACATCTTTTACAGCAGTATTACCTCGTACGATTTGCTGACGTTGCGCTTAATGTGGAATTACCAACGTTTAACGTTAATTATCATAACTAACAATTCTAACAATCTTTACACAGACGTCGAAATGAGTTCTGTAGCTGAGCGGCAAAAAGTGGATCACTTTAGACTTGATCGAGATCAAATAACAACAGTAAAGGAGCTTGGGAATGGCAACTTTGGTCAAGTGTCCAAAGCAGTTTACAAACCTTTGATTTCCGAAGTGGCTGTCAAGTCTTTGAAAGGTGCCTATTTTACTTTCTTTACCACCTCTAACTTTTCAGTAACTGGCACTGAAATTTCTTCTCTTACCAAAGGGTAAAGGATATAAAGAGGTTTCCTTTCTAAAGCTCCTGTCGTTTGAATCTTCATTTATGTTTTAGGCAACGCTTCAAAGAAGGACTTGCAAGACTTGCTGACTGAATTGGATCTCATGAAAACCTTGATGCCTCATCCTCATGTTGTTAAATTCATTGGCTATTGTATTGAGAAAGGTACTGGAAATTATGATTGCTTTTTATTTTCTGCTTTTTTTGCTGAATGACTAATTCTCTATTAATGGAACGTCTAGCACATTGAATTGACTGATTCAGCACCGTTACACAATTCTAGACCCACATCTCCTAGTGTTGGAGTATTTACCATATGGTGATTTGTTGGGATATCTGCGCAAAAGCAGAGGAATTGAGGATCCTTATAACACAGGAGAAAAGAGACCAAGCTCAACGCTCACAGAAAAGGACCTCTTGTCCTTTGCGTGGATGATCGCTGATGGTATGAGCTATTTGTCATCAATGAAGATAAACTCTACCATACCACACCCACCAAATTTCATTACGCTTTAAGGTCATGTGTGACGTAAAAAGTAATATCTTATACAACAAACCTTTAGAATACAACTGTATTCTACAATTCTATGAGGAATGGTTATCAATGGATCATCTCTTGGTCTGCCATGTTTATTCTCGAGCTGAAACCAGCCAACCTCCTCACTTTTCATGATCACTGTTATGTCTACCCAAAACAAGTGATATTAAGTAAGATGAAAAAAGAATAGCAAGTAGAGCTTATATTAAAACGTGGGCGAATAACATGCCCATGCTTGTTTCAGATCGTTCATCGTGATTTAGCAGCTCGCAACGTGTTAGTTGGGGACGATAAAGTATGCAAGATTTCAGACTTTGGTTTAGCTCGTGGTTTGAAGGAAGATGTATACACGAGAAAAACACAGGTGACTACAACCCGAGGCTATCTCAATATAACTACAAAGCTTTGCGCCAATATTTAGAAATTTTTCCCTAGCCAATTTACTAAAAGTCATTTTTAACTCTCACTTTTCTTTTGCTCGAAATTTTAATCGAGTTTATGTGACGCGAACCCGAAGCTATCTTACAATACACAATAACTTCAAAGCGTTGCACCAAAACTAGTTTATCTTCCTATTTGACAATCTGCTACCTAATGCAATGTATATTTATTTTTAGTTTCCTTTCGTTTATATTTTATTCTAACTTTTCCTAATGATTAATTTTTTCAAGACTCGTCTGCCAGTTAAATGGATGCCCCCGGAATCTCTCTTCTATGGTTTATCTTCCACAGTGAGTGACATGTAAGTTGTTTACCTCTGTTACCTCTTAAATAACGTTAGCTCGGAACAGTCGGTACGCTAAGGAGATATAACTTTCGGAAAGGCTCAGGTTATTAGGTAGTCAGCGGTTCGTTTTCCTTTGTAAATGATTTTTGGAACAGAACTTGAAAGTTTCTCAGTTAAAAGCACCTTTTCTTTCGAGTCGTTTCGAGCGGGAAACCGAATGGTGCGCGTTCAGCTAATGGTATCAAAGAATCAAGTAATAATGTCTTTGATTGCCAAAGCTACCCTTGTAATAACGAAAAAAGGTTTCCATTGTATATATAATATTATTTTTACAGACTCATGCTAATAACAAAAAAGCATATAACGTAATTTTTTTCCTTCCGTCTGCTGTCTACAGATGGTCTTACGGTAGTGTGATGTGGGAGGTGTTTACTATTGGTATGTAGATTATTGTGAAGAACTCTAAAGCAGTTAATAATTAGAATCTTTATGCTTTCTTGCCTTCCAAATTTTCTTTCCAAGAGAATAGAATGGGTCTATGCCTTGGTAGCTAAATCTTAGATTCTTACATTATTACAGGTTTGACATTGTATAACCAGCAACAACACAGTTAACAATTCCAAAGGTTGACCAGAGTTTCTATCCTAAAACCTTTAACACGATTGAGATGCTATCTCCTCAGTCGCTATAATTTTGCGACTCCATAATGGTTACTATTCGAACAAGCAGGTAGAAACCAGGGGAGCTTTTGATTGGTCTGGTAAAAACCGGTCAGAATTTTCTTTAAAAAAAAATATTAAGGTTGTTTTTTTTCATGTACAAAATCTAACTTTTCATGTACAAAATCTAACGAAAATAGAACAGAATTAGTGTCTACTTGTGCAGACTCGACTTTTGTTTCTCTGCGAGAGCTAAAGTTCTACTATTTGCAACGGTAACCAAATGTTTCATTCAAAATTTAGTACTTTGTTATGGTAGTTGAGGGTTGCAACAATAGTAAAGTGGCTTTCTTGTGTGTGTTGTTTGATAATTCCAGTAAAAAGGGTAATGAGAATCAATTTGTATGTGTAACTTCTCAAGAAGAAACCCATAAAAAGACATATCATAAGGGGATGAGTTTTCCGAACCGAAAAAGAGGGCCCAGTCTTTATATCAGAGCCAGTCGTAGTATGCACTTAAAATAATAGCACTTCCATGGTTACTCTTTGTTAGCAAACTTATTATTCTTGTTGGACAGCATTTTTCCTTACTAACTTTTGATCCCAAAATATTTGACTTTGGACTTGTAATTTAAAACTATAGAAGTGTTTGGGTATCCTGCACCAAAAAAAAGTGGGAGGGGAGGGTGGAAATGGCACGATTATTACATTTTGGGAAAGGAAACGAGAACAGTTGAAATAACTTTATATTTTGCACTCACATTATTCTGTTTTTCTCGATAATCTTATCTCAATGGATGAATCTTTTTTTCACCAGTGTTTGGAGATTCTAAAGAGTAAATTTCGCTTCGAGAAATATCCTTCAGCAACCCTTTTGATTCCTATCTCCGCATTTAAGAGTAACAAGCTGGAAATAAGTAATTCCAGTGTTTGGAGATTCTAAAGAGTAAAGAAACCACGCGTATATAGTCGAATTTTGGGTTTTGTTCAGTGAAAGATCTCTATGAATTTTTGTTTGTTTTGTAACAATGATTTTGGAACGCTATATTGTTTCGGATTCTTTATTGTCTTTATTCTACGTCACGCTTAAGCTTGGCAGGTTCCAACAAGGAGAATAAATACTGATCTTAGGCACAGTTAAAGACAACACTTAGTAGCTAAGTTTAGTCTTTTAAACCTCATTGTGAGATCAGTCATAATTTCTTATATGCTTTTCTGTGGCGGGGATAAAAATTACATGGTAGTTAAAAAGCTTGCCTTCTTTTTCTTCGTCATGTCCTGCATTCCTGTAAATAGCTTTAGTAGAAATTAACGTCAATGATATCTGTTGTAAAATTTCGATCTGTTACAAGAGTGGAGGAAATATCACAGGGCTCTAGATGCCTTCCAAAGCCCTAAGGTTGCACAACGCCATAAGTATGTCACTTTGAGAATTCTTGGTGGTCATATGTGAAGCTTTTTTGCATATTAACCGTGGCAAACTTTTTCCTTCAATCGGTTCCTTTTTTTCTAAGGAATCTTTTGGAAGAGATTTTAGTTCAGGTTCGACACGAAATAAATTAAATTTGATGTTAATCAATGATACATCTGCAGTTTCCTTAGTATTTTACTTCATAAGTATACGAAGCACTACTATACGATTGTTACACTACGTACCGACAGCGCCTATATATTGGCGCAGACCGACGTTACCACTGGCGCAAGTCTTTCCTAACAAAGGCTAGCGCTCGGAAGTCTAGTATCATTTGTTGGTTTTATCCAGCTCAGTTAACTAGGGTTTGCGGGCTCTCAGTACTGTTCCAGTCGGAGTAAGAGAGTCTTCAATTTGTAAATTATAACCATTGTGCTGGTAGGTACCTGTAAACACATTTAGCAGACATGCCACGTGCGTATGTAAACGAGAAAGTTATGGCTTTACGTCGAAGAGATTTGGAACTGGATGATCTTGAAACTCTCTGGCTTCAAATTTGTCCTCATAAATCAAAGAGACCGATTTTGATATCTGGTGTTTACCGTCCACCTTCAGCCAACAAAGATTATAATGAGAGCTTGGGTAAAAATATTGAAAATGCCCATCTCCAAAACAATGAATTGATTATTCTGGGAGACTTTAATTTGGATTATATTGATTTCAACTGTTATTCAAAACATTGTCTCGCAAAGGCACTGAACAGTCTTGGATTAACGCAGATGGTAAATGGGGTAACAAGACCTGCCTCTGATGCGTGCTTAGACCATATTTATTCTAGTCATCCTTCTAGAATTAGAGAAGTATCCATAGGTAAATCTGGACTTTCCGATCACCTTCCGGTCACCATCTTGAGGTGCTACAAAACCATGGATGCACAACGTAAACAACATTCCAAAATCAAATACAGAAATATCGACAAAATCAACAAAGAGTGCTTTCTGCGAGACCTAAGAGAAGCCCCTTGGGATATCTCCTTTGTTTTTCGAGATGCCGATGACATTGTTGAATCTTGGTACAAAATCTTTAATGACATTCTTGATAATCACGCACCTTTAAAGTCCAAGAGTGTGAAGAAAATCAATCAGCCAAAATGGTTCACTAATGATCTATACAACGAAATAAATAAACGCGATAATCTTCTAAAGAGGGCCAGGAGAACACAAAATAAGCAAGATTGGTCTGCTTTTAAACTGGTTAAAAACAAAGTGACGAGGAAACTAAGAAATGCGAAGGAACAGTACTTTAAAACTCAGTTCAGTAAAAATCAAAAATGTCCAAAGAAACTTTGGTCTTTAATTAAAGACCTATCTAAAGATACAAAGAATAACGACGACTCCGTCCCTATTGCTGACGAAAACAACAACTTGATAAAGGATGACCATTCAATCGCTGAACGCTTTAACCGCTTCTTCGTTGATGTATATAAACGTCTCATAAAGTCGACACCTGTACTTCATTATGATGCTCTTCCTGGTCCACCAGACAAATCTAACAGTCAAATTGAAAATCTTATTCCGCAAATAACTCCTAGTGAGGTTAACGATTATCTTCTAAGTATACCTACACACAAAGCCACGGGAATCGATGGGCTTGGTGCCAGAGTTCTAAGGATTGCAGCTCCTGAAATATCATGCTCCATAGCTAAAATTATAAATCACTGTATTGAAACTTGTACATTTCCCTCACAATGGAAAATAGCAAAGGTTAAACCTCTTTTCAAGAATCAAGGAAACAAGCAAGATATTCAAAACTATCGTCCTATTAGCATTTTGCCTATTCTTTCTAAAGTCTTTGAAAGACACATCTTCAATGCTGTGAACACCTACTTAACAGAAAATTCACTTTTATACCGCTTCCAATCAGGGTTCCGTAAAAACCACTCCACGGATACTGCTTTGTTGTTTCTTCTGGACCAAGTCCTTCTTGACCTTGATAAGAACAACGTCAGCGGCTTAGTTTTTGTGGACTATAGCAAGGCATTCGACTTGATCAATCATGACATTCTCCTGGTAAAGTTAAGATCATATAGATTTCCAGATAATGTTGTAAAGCTATTGCAGAGCTATCTACTCAATCGCAAACAGTGTGTTACTGTAAATAACTCGACTTCGTCACAACTTA